CGTAAGGACACTTTCTTATACTATCTACAGTTGAATAAAGCGTCGTTTTGACGCATGCGCAAATACTACGGTATTAGTTAACCTGCCCGTAACCAGAGGGCTGTAGTCGCTTAAAAATGTTACGCCAATTTATAGGATGTCAGATGTCCAGTTTGTTATGCCAATTTAAAGGTGTATCAAATCAGATATCCAATTGTTATGCCAATTAAAATGTGTATCAAATCATATATCCAATTGTTATGCCCATAAAATGTTTCGCCAATTTCTAGGATATCAGATATCCAGTTTGTTATGCCAATTAAAATGTGTACCAAATCATATATCCAATTGTTATGACAATTAAAATGTGTATCAAATCAGATATCCAATTGTTATGCCAATTAAAACGCGTATCAAATCATATATCCAAGTGTTATGCCAATTAAAATGTATATCAAATCATATATCCAATTGTTATGCCAATTAAAATGTGTATCAAATCATACATCCAATTGTTATGCCAATTAAAATGTGTATCAAATCATATATCCAATTGTTATGCCAATTAAAATGTGTATCAAATCATACATCCAATTGTTATGCCAATTAAAATGTGTATGAAATCATATATCCAAGTGTTATGCCAACTAAAATATGTATCAAATCATATATCCAATAGTTATACCAACTAAAATATGTATCAAATCATACATCCAATTGTTATGCCAATAAAATGTTACGCCAATTTCTAGGATATCAGATATCCAGTTTGTTATGCCAATTAAAATGTGTATCAAATCATATATCCAGTTTGTTATACCAATTAAAACGTGTATTAAACCATATATCCAATTGTTATGCCAACTAAAACGTGTATCAAATCATACATCCAATTGTTATGCCAATAAAATCTTACGCCAACTTCTAGGATATCAGATATCCAGTTTGTATGTAGATCGTAGGACATCAGTTTGTACATAAATCGCTCCAGAAGGGAGTTAAACAGAAGGAGCTTCCATAGTCTCGGCACGCGCCGTCCTTCCTCTCCATACATCCCAGGTCGACGACTCTTATGACTTGTTAAGCCACGAGGTTGTGGGTCCGGGTGGAAGTCGCGCCGGGCTCGCGTCCTTACGACGATCCCCTGGCGGGGATCTTTTTCATTGCGGTGTTTTACCGCGTTTCATAAACCGTGGACGAGGGGGCGCGAGAGGCAACTGGCGGCATCTAGTGGCAGCCGACGGTACTGCCGGCGCGGAGGGACGTAAACCACCGCCTTTATGGGCCGTATATAGCAATTCTTAGCAAGTCCGACGTGGATCCTCCACCGACAGGATACACGGTCCTCCGCTTATCTCGCAGTTCCTTTTTGCTAATGTCTAACCTGAGAAACACGCACTTACGCCCCCGTCGAGAGGACTTTTCCTGCATCCGACGTGCCCTTAAGGCCCTTAAGGTGATGTGAAGGTGGCATCGAAGAGGTTTTGTTTTTTAGAACTTTTCTCCCAACTCGGTTTACCGAATAGGTTGAAACTTTACAACGTGAATGGGGAGACTATAAGGAAGGGCCTGAAACTCATGAAATTTCAATTCTTTTCTAATTTGTTTATGGGTATTTTAAAAATAGTTTATAAAAATGGAATTTCGCGAGCTTTAGAACCTACCTTAGGGCCTCCATATTCACGTTTTAAAGAATGAAATTATTTGAGACACCCAGTTTGTAGAAAAGTTTTATTAACAATTGAGCTTTCGGGTGCCACTTTCACATCCCCTTAAGGTGATGCGAAAGTGGCATCGTCGTTTATAAACCTTTTCCCAACTCGGTTTACCGAATAGGTTGAAACTTTACAACGTGACTGGGGAGACTATAAGGAAGGTGCATTTCGTCGTTAATGATCATGTTTAAACGACTATGTCTTGATTTTTGATACACGGTCCTCCGCTTATCTCGCAGTTCCTTTTTACTAATGTCTAAGATGAGAAACACGCACTTACGCCCCCGTCGAGAGGACTTTTCCTGCATCCGACGCGCCCTTAAGGCCCTTAAGGTGATGTGAAGGTGGCATCGAAGAGGTTTTGTTTTTTAGAACTTTTCTCCCAACTCGGTTTACCGAATAGGTTGAAACTTTACAACGTGAATGGGGAGAGTATAAGGAAGGTCCTGAAACTCATGAAATTTCGATTCTTTTTAAATTTGTTTATAAGTATTTTAAAAATAGTTATGTGTATGTACTTATGATTAATTTACGGATATTCCAGATAAACGCATACACATTTATATACGATTAATTCACGGATATTCCCGATAAACGCATGAACATTTATATACGATTAATTTACGGGTATTCCAGGTAAACGCATACACATTTATATACGATTAATTCACGGATATTCCCGATAAACGCATAAATATTTATATACGATTAATTTACGGATATTCCCGATAAACGAATAAATATTTATATACGATTAATTTACGGATATTACAGGTAAACGCATAAACATTTATATACGATTAATTTACGGATATTCCAGATAAACGCATAAATATTTGTATACGATTAATTTACGGATATTCCCGATAAACGAATAAATATTTATATACGATTAATTTACGGATATTTCAGATGAATGCATACACATTCATATACGATTAATTTAAGGATATTCCAGATAAACGCATACACATTTATATACAATTAATTTACGGATATTCCAGATAAACGCATAAATATTTATATACGATTAATTTACGGATATTCCCGATAAACGCATACATATTTATATACGATTAATTTACGGTCATTCCCGATAAACGCATACACATTCATATACGATTAATTTACGGATATTCCATGTTAAGCGATGCCTGGGAAGGGACTAATGTCTTTGCAATACTCCGCAAAGAAGAAGTAAAACACAATTACTCATTTTCTTTGGATATAGCAGTACATACAAACACGTTATATGCCTTAGTAATCTTTTCGGGTTTGACCTACCTCACTAAGCAATCCTTACGCGTTTTAGGATCTGGGCTTTCAAGACGATATGACATCCCGTGGGATAGGAAGTGTATGCTTTTAAGGACATAAAGTATCCGGAGGCACGTTTTACCTGTCATCCGAGTTTCTCGGAGCAGCCGGAGATCCTCGTAAAGTCTTACGATCGATTTGTCAATATGGCGGCAGAGTGCGGCGAAGGGATGTGTTCGACCCTTCTCGCTTTCAAGCTCGATTTGAGTCAACGAGAGCACATCCAACGAAGACCAATAACAATAGTAACGACATTAAGGTGAAGTGAAACACGTCGAGGAACTTGATCAACGTCTATAAAGAAGATTTTTCTAAATGCCTACGTTGCCGACGTTCGTTTTTATATCGACAACTGGGTCGAATTATATTGGGTATTGTACCAAATGGCATACTCCGCCTGTCGTTTTCGTACAATAATTATAAAGAAATCGAAGTAAAACTCCAGAAATCCTCTGGATTCGTGCTTTCTGGGGCTCTAATTGACTGCGGAGGGACCCCCTGCGCCATCTGTGATTTCCAGGTCAATTAAATTTTCACTCCGAGACCTCGTATTCCCAACGTTTTGGCATAGAAGCGCATACAACACTTTTTTTGCCTTTATCCCGTTCAAATGCGAGTTTATAGATTACCAGAGTGTTCTAAATTGTCGTAAAATTGTCCTGACCCTTTCGATTCTCATATCAGAGCCTTCGATAATTGTATATTCATCGAAATATCAGAGCTCGACGCCATTTTTGTTCTGGTCTGGGGTGAATTACACCATTTTTTTTTTTAATCGAAATTTTGAATGTGTCAGGACAATTCTTAGATGATCAGGAGTCATGTGTCAAAGTTCCGGACAATTTGGTCTAATACCCTTAAAAAAAAGTGTTGTATTCCAATCGACTGGTTTGTAGGGGTTTCACATCACCTTAAGATAAAGTGAAACACGTCGAGAAACTTAATCGACGTTGATAAAGAATATTTTTCTAAATGCCTACGTCGCGGACGTTCGATTTTATATTGACACCTGTGTCGAATTGTATTGGGTATTGTACCAAATGGCATACTCCAGCTGTCGTTTTCGTACAATAATTATAAAGAAATCGAAGTAAAACTCCAGAAATCCTCTGGATTCATGCCTTCTGGGGCCCTAATTGACTGCGGAGGGACCNGAAGACCCGGGACGAAACACAACAAACAGGGCACACACCACCATCACCACATCTATACCCAAAGCATACAAATAGATTTGCATGAAAAATTTCGCATACGAGTAGTAAGACCAACTCTTGAGGACTCTTCGAATTGGGTTCATGCGGATTACTCGTAGGTAATCGTATACGACTACGATCTGGTGACCTCATCGTATCTGCGTGATTGTGTGGAGCTCGGAATTACATTTATAAGGGTGAGAAGGGAGTACTCCGGAGAGTGATGTGGTCATCATCTTCACGTGCCATTTATGATGACTGGTGTACCAATAACTTTGGTATGGCTTGATCTCGCCTCGCTTCGTCATACGTGTGGGGACGATGGCTTCTTATGTCCGGTGACAGGGACCAATCTCCGGAGGACTTTCCCCAAAAAATGGGGATACTCTCCTAGAGGTCGCTATCCTTCTTTTGCGGGTCTCAACGCCACCTCTTGGATACGGGGCTCTTTTCTATGATGAATCGCTGGAAAACCATGTCTAGCATAGGAACTCGGAGACTCGAAACGTGATCCGACGACCCTGGAATTTACTTTTTATTTTGTACTCACTTTATTGAACGTAACAGTTAAATTATTTATGCCTTGAGAGTAACTTCACGTTAAGTAACTAATACTTAAGAAACAATAATTTCGGTGCTGCGGACCTGGATTTATCCCCTTTGTCTTCATTTCCTTGTCTCAATTAGGAATCGCCGTCGCAGTAGTTACACTCTAGATTCTTGCACGATGAATCTGAATACTAACAACTTGATAAGCTAAATGTTTGATAATAAAAGATAAAATAAATCCAGACAATATGTATACAATTTTTATTAAATATTTCAATGCAAATTATATAAGACAGAGACTATGTAAGCCTTATTATTAAGGTGTCCAGAAAGTTGCTACAGTTTCTGTTGCTTGAGATTTGGCGTTGTGACTCCAAAAGAAGTTTCTCTTCTCCCTGTTTGTCTTATACCCCATTTTAAAACTTAAATTTTCCTCTATTTTTTTATAACAATTACTAAATCTCCACCGTTAATACTTATTCAATACTGAATTGGATAAATCAGACCGTGGGTACGTCTCCGCCACCTGGTGAGGAAACTCGGTAGCGTTTCGCGGCAAATACATTTAACAGCATGTTTATTTACTTAACGCCATACTTTCGTCCAATCCGATATTGATTAAATTCCGACAGTGGAGACTTAATAAATGACTGTTTAAAATAATCTTTCTTTTTCATTATGTTATGCCTACAGGCCGTCCAGAAAATTTGACGATTTTACTCCAAAAGAAGTTGATCTTCTCCCTGTTTGTGTTATACCCCATTTTAAAATTTAAATTTTCCTCTATATTTTGATAACAATTACTAAATCTCCACAATTGGTATTTGTTTAATATCGAATTGGATAAATCCGACCGTGGGTACGTCTCCGCCACCTGGTGAGGAAACTCGGTAGCGTTTCACAGCAAATACATTTAACAGCATGTTTATTTACTTAATACCATACTTTCGTCCAATCCAATGTTGATTAAATTCCGACGGTGGAGACTTAATAAATGACTGTTTCAAATAATCTTTACTCATACTAATAATTTCGAATTTGCTTCTATTCCATCTTTAATTAATCAGTTAAAACGAAACAGAAACTAATATATAAAATAGAATTGTTGTTACCAAATATAAATCGACGCCTTCACTTTAAAATACTCTATGACGTTGACACAAAGAAAAAACAATTTTATTTAAAAACGAAGCGTCAATTTTACAGCCCTAAGACTTTATGCGTCGCTCGTTGTTTGTTAAAAAGTTATTAATAAAGTAATCTCGATGAATCAGACATAGGTTTTCGACGCTGGGTGTACAATTAAAGACTCAAAACGTAGTATCTACACGTCAGAGATTTCAATAAAGAATGTCATAAAAATTTGTCTTGCCAGTTGAAACATCTCTTAATATGCATCAAAAACCCCGGCACTGTAGGTTCGATAGTTTACGCAAAATTAATTCCAAAAAAATTACTGCAAAAACAAGCTTCTAGACGATAATACCCCCTTAATGTAGGTTAAGGTTAGGTCGATAGTTAGAATCCAATTAGCAACAAGTTGCAGTGATACAGGAGTCTTTAGATGTATATTAAACAACGAGAAGCAGCCAAACGAACAACGAGCGGCGGATAAAGCCTTATGGAGGTTACTCAGGAGGGTGACCTTGAAAATATACGTCAAGGTCATCGGAGCTGGACCCTCTAAACGCAATAATTACCCTCTCTGGACAGTCTCACATTACAACGTCAGTTTTCCAAAGAAACATGAATAGACAAAGTTTACCCATCAATTTGACGGGTGCTCGTAGAAACAGGTATATAAAAAACGCCCGTAAACCTAGTGTTAATGTGAGTTAAGGTTAGGTCAGTAGTTAGAATCCAGTTAGCAACAAGTTGCAGTGATACAGGAGTCTCTAGATGTATATTAAACAACGAGAAGCAGCCAAACGAACAACGAGCGGCGGATAAAGCCTTATGGAGGTTACTCAGGAGGGTGACCTTGAAAATATACGTCAAGGTCATCGGAGCTGGACCCTCTAAACGCAATAATTACCCTCTCTGGACAGTCTCACATTACAACGTCAGTTTTCCAAAGAAACATGAATAGACAAAGTTTACCCATCAATTTGACGGGTGCTCGTAGAAACAGGTATATAAAAAACGCCCGTAAACCTAGTGTTAATGTGAGTTAAGGTTAGGTCAGTAGTTAGAATCCAGTTAGCAACAAGTTGCAGTGATACAGGAGTCTCTAGATGTATATTAAACAACGAGAAGCAGCCAAACGAACAACGAGCGGCGGATAAAGCCTTATGGAGGTTACTCAGGAGGGTGACCTTGAAAATATACGTCAAGGTCATCGGAGCTGGACCCTCTAAACGCAATAATTACCCTCTCTGGACAGTCTCACATTACAACGTCAGTTTTCCAAGGGAACATGAATAGACAAAGGCTGACTACCAGTAGCACCGATGTTTATGTTCAACTTGCTACCTCTGTCACTGTCTGTTGAGTAAATAGCTCGGTTTGCACGGCATTGAGAAACATGGGTACGCTATGCTGCCGTTGTAAATGCCTCTCGATGAAGGGTCCAAGGGTCGCTGAGAATGCGGTTTCCATGAGGTCGACACCTTCCTGATCTATGTGGAAGAACAGGAAGTCATCCGGGGATTCGGCATATTGACTTGACAATTTGTAGCGACCTTCTTTGGTCCTATCGACTCTCCAGCCAAAAAGTTGGTAACAGGCCTGCCTGTACTCCTGTGACGAAGCCTTGAATGCCTCTTTCAGGCGATTGATTTTAATCTCGTGGGTCTGCTTAAGTTCCTTCATTTCTGAAACATTAATTCATTATGTTGAATTGACACTGATATGGCAAATGAATAGAATTAACTGACGGAGAGAGGAAACCCACTGAACACCAAACCTAACAGTTACGTAACTTATGTGATAAACTATTGATTATGTAATGATAAACTATTAGTAATAGTTTATCATTACATAATTTCATTGAAAGTCTGATTTGTCATTTAATATCTAACTGTTGTCAAGTAGCAAAAAATAATAAAAAATAAAAAATAATGTAATTTTGGCTAAAATTGCGTCATCTTTTATATTAAAAGTATGAAAAATTCATATTATTTTAAGGTAACTGAAATTATAATATAACATGTTACATAACATATTAGCTTACCTTTACTTAGTGGGAAATAATAACTAACTTCCATGTTACTTTTATGCTACATAACATGTTAACTTCGAAAACGTAACATTTACCCAACAGTTATATAACAGTGTTCACTGGGAAAATGAGAGTTGTACTTATCGGTAGATTTTAGTGCAAGCATCGTACTAATGTAACAATTCATTCTCTAGTTATGTCACAATGTTATAAAATGTTAACATTGCAAAACACTGTGCTATGTATTCGTGCTGTCTGGGTAATGCAATAAATAATTGGATATTAAGAACAACCTTGCGAATGAAGAGACAATATACTAGGTCCGGCTCCATTTCCTCCAAATTCATTCTTTAGTTATGTCAAAATGTTATAAAATGTCAACATTGCAAAACACTATGTATTCGTGCTGTCTGGGTAATGCAATAAATAATTGGATATTAAGAACAACCTTGCGAATGAAGAGACAATATACTAGGTCCGGCTCCATTTTCTCCCGCAGCAACTTTTGCACGGAGTTCCTCGACCTCCTGAAGAAGAGCCCGTCGTTTCTCCTCGGCTTGTTGTTCGGCAACTACTGCTGGATTCATCTTAAAATGAAGCACCCTCGCATTGCAGTTGAAATCACCTTTCAGTGCCCTGTGCTCAAGTTCACCTCGTAACCGATTAATCTCTTCTCGTAGTCTGTCGCATTCGCCTCGTTGAGTGCCATCATCGGCAGCTTCTAAGTCAGCTTCCAACTTTGTTACTAATTCTCTGAAAAAGAAAAAGAATTGAAATTTCATGATTTTCAGGACCTTCTTACTTACTCCCTACATACGTTGTAAAGTTTCAGACTATTCGGTAAATCGAGTTGGGAGGAAAGTTTTATAAACAAAACCTCTTCGACGCCATTTTCACATCACCTTAAGGGGATGTGAAAGCGGCATCCGAAAGCTCAATTGTTCATAAAACTTTTCTACGAACTGGGTGTCTCAAATCGTTTCATACTTTAAAACGTGAATATGGAGACCCTAAGGTAGGTCCTGAAACTCGCGAAATTTCATTTTTTATAAACTATTTTTAAAATACCTATAAACAAATTAGAAAAGAATTGAAATTTCATGAGTTTCAGGATCTTCCTTATACTCTCCCTATTCACGTGGTAAAGTTTCAAACTATTCGGTTCATCGAGTTGGGAGAAAAGTTTTATAAACAAAACCTCTTCGATGCCACTTTCACATCACCTTAACACTAAACCGAAACAAGTCATTTTGACCCGCTTGGTAGTTCTATTGTTAAAACTCACACACATTAATGAAAAGAAATATTTTAAACACTTAAGGTGAAGTGAAACACGTCGAGGAACTTGATCGACGTCGATGAAGAAGATTTTTCTAAATGCCTACATTGCCGACGTTCGTTTTTATATCGACAGCTGTATCGAATTATATTGGGTATTGTACCAAATGGCATACTCCACCTGTCGTTTTCGTACAATAAATATCAAGAAATCGAAGTAAAACTCCAGAAATCCTCTGAATTCATGCTTTCTGGGGCCCTAATTGACTGCAGAAGGACCCCCTGCGCCATCTGTGATTTCCAGGTCAATTAAATTTTCCCTCCGAGACCTCGCATTCTCATCGTTTTAGCATAAAAACGCATACAACACTTTTTTGTACCTTTATCGCGTTCAAATGCGAGTTTATCGATTACCAAAGTGTTCTAAATTGTCGTAAAATTGTCCCGACCCTTTTGTTTTCATATCAGAGCCTTCAATAATTGTATATTGATGGAAATATGAGAGCTCGACGCCATTTTGGGTCTGGCGTGGGTTGAGTTAAAAAATTTTGTTATAAAAATCCAAATTTTGAATGTGTCAGGACAATTCTTAGATGATCAGGAGCGGTGTCAAAATTTTGGACAGTGGTCCAATACCCTTAAAAAAAAGTGTTGTATTCGAATCGACTGATTTGAAGGGGGTTTCACTTCACCTTAAGGTGATATGAAAGAGTCAGCCTGTATATATCTGAGATTATATATATATATTTACCGATAGCCATCAATAACACGTTCCAATGCAGGAATTCGCTCCGTCACAGCATTGCTACTTTCTGCAACTGTCGTCATTTCCTTTTCATACATATCTAGTTGTTGTCTGTAACTGTCTCGTTCCCTAGTAATGAGCATCATCTTCTTTTGCAGCCTGCTAACTAATTTATTCAACTTTTCCCGCGACATAGTCATTTCCGTTGCCACTTTCTTGGCTTCTTCATAATTCTTTTTAAACGTCTGGCATTCCCTCTGGATAGCATCCACTTTGGATCTTAATTGGCCTTCTTCTAAAGTTAAAATCGCCTCGGCATGTTGCAACCGATTTACTTCTTTTTTCAAGGCAGTTGGCCCGCCACCTATACCAATCGATTCGTACTCATTAAGGCGAAGCTGAAGCTCCGAACATTTCACTTCCAATTTGGTTACTTGATGTTCCATCATCTCAGTGTGCGCCAGTCTAAAGCGGCTGAATATTTAAATTAATTCGTATACAAATATTCTATGTTAAAGTAATTTACCAGGTGATTGATTTAACTTGAGACACCGAAATACGCATCATAGGGAATGATTCTTCAGAACGAAAATTATTCGTATCAGAGTATGATTGCAGAGGGACCCCCTGCGCCATCTGTGATTTCCAGATCAATTAAATTTTCACTCCGAGACCTCGTATTACCATCGTTTTAGCATAGAAGCGCATACAACACTTTTATTGCCTTTCTCCCGTTCAAATGCGAATTTATCGATAACCAGAGTGTTCTAAATTGTCGTAAGATTGTCCTGACCCTTTCGATTCTCATATCGGAGCCTTTGATAATTGTATATTGATCGAAATATGACAGCTGGACGCCATTTTGGTTCTGGACAAATCCAAATTAATTAAACTTAATTAATTACTTATACTTAGTAATTAAACAACATTAAATTTTCACTCCGTGACCTCGTATTACCATCGTTTTAGCATAGAAGCGCATACAAATTTTTTTTGCCTTAAACCTTAAACTCTTATAACCTTTGAAAAATGCACGTTTCGAACAAAAGTTTCTTATGCTTGTACGTAGAATATGAATTTGCAATAAAAAATGGGGGTTTCCATTAAAAAAAATGAACCTAATGAACCTAAAAAATAAACCTAACCTCACTTTCACCCACAAAAGCGCCAAACTGGTAGCTCTCCTCTTTGTGTGCCCCTCTGATATCATACGATGCGTATTTTTTCGAGATATTTCGGTGTCTCAGGTTAAATAAATTACCCTGTATAAGGTTAAGTAATCATGCAAATTATACAATTGTAAACCGATACCTTAACTTCATCGTAGACACTTGCTCTTCGAGTAAAAGTTTCCCCTTTACAGACTCTCGTAAGTTAGCTATTGTTTCCTTGGCAGCTATTAGTTCTTTTTCGTAATCACTTGCCTTAGCAGCTCTAGCTACCAATTGTTTACCCTCTTCCCAGAGTGCTCTTTCCGATTCGAGCTTCTCGATCCTGATTTTCATATTCTGCAATTCGACAGACTGCATTTCGAAGTCTCGTTGGACTGTCATAGATTCTCTTAATTTTTGTTCCAGCTCCTCGATCCTAGCCTCCGCAGCTTCCAGTTTTGGCAATGTGTCGGACATCTCGTTCGCTGGATTCTTCGGAGCAGGGACAGCATTCTGTGCGATGGTAGTTCTACAGTCCTCCATTAATTTTGCATTCTCATTCATAAGTGAAGAAATCTTTAATTCTAATTTCGCCTTGATCTCATTAAGCTCTTTCTCAGCAGCCAACTGTGCTTCTCTCGCTTCTTGCACTGTTTGCCTAGACATGTCTAAACGGACTTCTAATTGCTTAATTGTTTGCTTGTCTTGTTCGGTTCGCATCTCGAATATCTTTTTCTCCGTATCGAATACTTCTTCCATCTGTCTGCGAACTTGGTGTAGTTTCTGAACTGTTACTTCCTGATGTGACAGTCTGGTACGCAAGGAAACAACCTGTGTTCAAATGCATTATTAATTCTTTTTCCAGATTTATTTTTCTTACCTGACGGATGAATTACCAAAAGTTCCACTTATTGGTACAAAACATGCCCCCGTCATTTTTATTTTTAAACTATGTTACGACACATCAAAACAAATCACTTCAACTTACTGCGATACCAAAAACCAATTTTCTACAAACGAATGATGTTTAATACACAATAAAAATAAATTGTATCTGTTTACATTCCTTAATTAATTAAGGTTATGTGAAAGTGGTCTTGAAGAGGTTTCGTTTAAGAAACTTTTCTCTGAACTGGATATATTAAATCATTTCAAACTTGACAATGTGAACATGGAGGCTATAAGAAAGGTCCCGACACCCATAACATTTCAATGTTTTGAATAATTGTTTATAGGTATTTTAAAGGTTGTTTATAAACAATTTAGTTTCATGAGTTTCGGGACCTTGCTTATAGCCTCTATATTCACGTTGTAATGTTTGAAAAGATTCAGTACATCCAGTTCGAAGAAAAGTTTCATGAACGATTGACTCTTGAGATGCCACTTTCGTTAGAGCAAACATTTAGTTGCAGGTGAACGTCACAGATGGCGACGTTAGTCTTAATGTTTATAGATGAATTTTAATTTATCGACATCGATTAAATTTCTCAGCCTTTCATATCATCTTAATAGTACAAAAAAAAATGCTTTTACACAGATTTCAAGTTACCGATATAATTTATTAATTACCTCTCCTTTTAAGCGTCTCCATTCCCATGGACTACTCGGCATAGAATCACATTCTGTTTTATTGACCAGAGAGTCGGAAGAGTCATCGAATTTAATACGTTTCGGTGGAGTATTACAGTCATCATTGTCGTCACTAAGAATGGAGTGCGGAGTAACAGCAGTCGATGATAGTCGAAATGACTTCCGACTGTTTCTTCTATATGTTTCAGAACCAGCACATAGTTCTGTGATCATCTTAATAACTCCAGTTGGATCTGAATCACTCATCTAAAAATAAAGAAATAAATTTCAGATTTTCAATATTCAGATGTATATCGGAGTGAGTCTTATGAAATGTCCAGAATCAGTGGGACTAAATCATCTCTATTAATTAGTTTGTTTATATCAGAATTCCAAATTCTACCAAAGAAAAGATGCATGTCTGATCGCAACTGTAGATGGAATACAACATCCACAAGGTCTAAGGGAGGAGGAATATATTTTAAATGAAATTTTCACTTTTATAACAGTATTCTATGCGTAACAGGTGTCCAGGAGCGTAAGAAAGCATAAAGATCTTCTTATGCCTTTAGCATAAGAAATTGATGTGCGAAATATCCAGTATTTTTTATCGTACACCAGGGCAATTTTCTATCGTTAGCGTTAACCCTTAGTGCTCCAGAAATTTCATAACGTTATGACGAATGTCTCTATAGCAGAGCCAACGGAGCGCTGAAGATTAAAACAAATGAAAACAATTCGTAAACCTATCGTAATGCTCATTGATTCTGAAGTCCTTTAAAATTTAATAAACTAAAATATCTTTAAATAATGTCAAGATATGTAGATAAAATACAGACACTTAAATAATAAATGACTGCTACTTAACACTTAGCCAACCGCACACCATAGCGAACTGTACGTCTTCCACTACGCTCCGGCAAGCCAAATTACGCTGTCCACCGCACGTCAAACGGATTGCTAAGATCAAAATGGTAGATCTCCCCAATCGGTCGTGCAACGATATAATTTAAAATGAAGAGATCTCCCCGATCGGTTGTGCAGCGACATAATTTAAAATGGGAAGATCTGCCCAATCGGTCGTGCAACAACTTACTTTAACCTCTTCACCTGCACTACCGTGTAAGAGACGTGGTATATCAATCGAGCCAAACGTGAACAAAACGTGTGAGAGACGTGGCACGTCAACCAGGCCAAATGTAAACAAAATGTATGAAAGACGCGTGAGACTTTGAACGTTCAGCCAAACCGTGAAATGGTCCGATGTACGACCGAAATTTTTGTTGTCTACGACACGTGCTATTGGAATTTAAATCGTAAGGCAAGGGGTTAAAGTGGGAAGACCTCCCCATTCGGTTGGCTAAGTGTTAAGACGAATACTCAACGTAATAAATTTCTGACAAGTTCTGGCCTCCTAAAACATCAATAAATCAAAATGTGTAATGAAATTCAAACTCTTTGTGGAAGTACTGCCGTCAAAAGAACTACTTTTAAGTAACGTTCATAAAAACAAGATACGGACAAAATAATTCGAAATGCACGCAAATAATTAGAATAAAATTCGTTTTTGCATTAACAAATTCTAACATTACTAATATGTGAAAACAAAGCCATAGTATACCTGAATTTATCAATGTCACTTAAAATAATGTTTCTGAAAACGTAACATCGAATATGTCAGCCTCGTCGATATTGATTATAACTTAAAACTTTTGAATTAGTATCCTGGTGTATATAAAAAACGTAAACAATTACGCTAACTTAACCATAAATTCTGTCTAACCTTAAACCATGTGAAGCCTGAGCCTCTTAATCTCGCAAACACAAGTAGTGAACCTTGTAATCCACTTGCTTGGTATTAAAAATATAGGTATAACGTGACTAAAATTGTAGCGTACTGTTATATCGCAATTTATATATTATACGATTGAACTACACCACCGCTCTACCTAGCTCCATCCAGTGTTGCCAAGTTCCCACCAAAGAATATTAGATAGAGCCAGAGGGGTGACACTGCCATGTACACTGGACTCCATCGATGGTTTCCTACTGTCCGCTCTGCCCTCTCCGGCCGCGCAGCGTACCAGTGGCGGGAGCAGCGCGGAATTCGAATCGCTCGAGGGGCAGAATGGATTTCCTAAAGAAAATAAATATTTATAAACAAAAACAATGAATGAAAATTATTTTAGTATTACTGTGGAGCGTCCCNACCCAAGGGGTAATTTACCCTTCGCATGTATCGGACGGTACCTGATCGTATTATTTTATTAATTTTAATCGTTAAAGTCCTTTAAGTCCAAGGAAGTCGTACAAAGCTGGTTTTAAAACGAGATTATACATCATTTTATTAAAGGGTTGTTACAACCCTTAAAATTCGTTTTTCGAAAAAACCAAAATATGCTGTTTTTGTACTGTTCTGGTCTATAAATTAACTAAGTTTCATTTGGATAGAGCAATTACTGCTCGCGTAAGGGGTAAAAGAAGTATTCAAAGGGGTGGCTCACCCCTTAAAATTGAATTTTTTCGAAAAATTCCAAATGCACGTTTCATAATTCACAAAAACACGGGTCCCTTAGATTTTAGTCCTCTATAACATATTTAAAAATGAACAAAATCGGAGGAGACACCAATTTATGAAAGTGGTCTAACAAGGAAGGTACTCAGGTACCTTCCTTGTTAGACCACTTTCATAATTATGGGCTCATATGTCCATGTAGATAAGGAGAAAATACAAGAATCTTCGAGGCCGAAGAGGACACGGGGTTCGAGAGGATGGGTGTGACCGCGGTAGGTGAGGGGCTCGACCATCAAGAAAAAGAAAAGAAAGAGTAGTGGCAATGATGCACCAGGTGCTGAGTTAAGGATCGGTCATCGCATTCGTAACGGAGTAACGTAACGTAACGTTATTCCGATACCAGCAGCTGTAATCTAGCATCTACGTAGTCCCACCATTACTACTGACGCGTTAATTAAGCGAAACAAATAAAATACTACAAAAACTGTTTCCTTGTTCTTTTATTTAGCGTTTCGTCATAAATGTATCGCGCGCCTCGCAGATAGCACCATCCTATGATCAACAAACTTATAATCCAGCATTCTACTATAAACATGTATAAATCTTACGTTCCCAGTAAAAAATTGACACAACCGACTTACCCCAGAAGCGATGTATCACAAAATGTCAAAATTGAGTCGAAAGAACTCACCTTCACGAAAATCCGATCTGACAATTTTACGCAATTACAAATTTAACATCGCTCTAATTTCTTTTCGTTTTCTATTTTAATTCAAATTAAACCGTATCAAAAGATATAACTATAAGGAGTATATCTCATCTTATGTTACTTATTATTACCTCTCGCGTAAAAAAAGGTGTTTTATTTACAAATCTCGTGATTAAACTTGAAACGCCACGGAATATTACACCTGGGATGTACGAGTTAATCAGGAAATAAAATGGAATCTCGTTCAAGTTTCGTACACTTTTTGTATTAAAAATGCTTCAACAGTACCCACAAATTTTGTATGGGTTTTTTTTCTTTTCTTTCTCAACATGTGGCTTGGAAGGAAAAAAGATTTAATCGACTCGCTCGTCTGTATATAAACGTAACAATCGTATAAAATGAAGCGATATTAATTAAAAGGGACAATGATCATACTGGGGAGAGATCATAATTATCATACTTATGACGTTTAGAGTCTAGCAGTAACGATCCACGTGTTTCCTACTTATCGTCAGTGTCGGGTTTAAGGGTGTACACATAATTTTCTCAGTTGGGATGTTGAAGAGCCTAGGCTTGATCTGGAATAGGAGATGTGATATGATTAGTGAGCGATTCTTATCAAGTGGTTATAGCGGAGCCAAAGGTGCGAGATATCTAGGAAGTTATCGGTCACTGGCTTCTTTGTTAGGGTGTAATTCTGTCTGTACGATTCAGTGTTCGCTTCCTGTAGGGACGCGTGTGAACGATATCTGTTATAATTAATACCACAGAAACATCTACTGTTGGTTACAATCACTTGGTTTCATTTGGGGTTTCTGCAGTGCATTGGTGTGAGATGATTCCTCTTCCTCTTCGTCTTCTTCATCGACATCATCCTCATCGTCATCCTCCTCTTCTTCGTAATCCTCCTCCTCCTCCAAGCCTTCTCCTAATAATGATACTGATTAATTGTTTGCCTGTTTAATGGACAATTTAGTACGCGTAAAACTCACTTTTTAAACAAAGGCGATTGGGTCACAAGAAGAGGGTCCGGCATAGTCCTCTCAGACTTTCCCGATGCTTTGTTATTTTTTACTCCTCAATTTATAAAACTATTTGTCAAAGGGATACCGCACACATTTCAGGAATTTTTAAGAGATAATCGTTGAATTATTTAGTATATACCTGATAAGGATATGCATAGCAACTCCCAAAGCGGCTGATAACACAGACAAGGTCTCGGATCGCCAGGACCGTCCAGTGCGCCTGCGCAGAGGAGTGTTGTGACGTCAAGCTATCATTGCCTAATATGTTATCAGCCTCGGACTAAATATAAGCTAAGGTTAATTTAGATTAGTACGGGGTTAACATTAGGTTTACGGGACCCGTCACTTTGACGGAATTCAAACTTCGAAAAGAAATACCGAAAGAACCATAGCATTAATTTTAACCATTTCTGTATCGTAAATTAATCATTTCATCCAAAGAATTTCTACACGCAATTATTTTTTCCTAACCCTTCTGATTATTAAAATCTGTATGTAGTATACCTATCTCTACGAAACCCGTCAAATTGACCGACTAGCTAATTTCATAAACAATCCATATATATTTGCTTCGTTGCAGGGAGGGTAAGGCGAAGATGAGAGTGAAAGTTTGCATTGAAAGTGGAGAGATAGAAGGATCTTCGGATAGGGAAGAGAAAAACTTCTTGAAAGGGTGTCGTAGCAAGAAAAGGATGCGCATTCTTTCTAGTTCCGACTCCGAGGATGAGAGGACGAGCATTCCAATCATTTCCGTGATAATTTTTAAAAAAGGACTTTCTACTTATTAATCATTCATTTAAACGTAAAGCCTAGAGTTGTTTGATTCAGACTTAATTTGAATGAATCGATTTTTTAAAGAAAATGCGTGTTTTCGTTTACCCGTCAATTTGACGGGTGCTCGTAGAAACAGGTATATATAAAACACCCGTAAACCTAGTGTTAAAGAAATTTCTGAACACGATTCTTACATCTCCACTAGTCTCCATCTAAACTCGAGTTTAGTTAAACTTATGTTTAACCCCAAGTTAACGCTTGTTTTCTGAATACGGATAATCGGATCTTGACCACTAAACTATTAGCCGCTTCGAGAGTTGCTATTAATCCATGTCCTTATCAGGTGTATTTAATCAGTTAACTGTGTTACGGAAGTAGGTCCTATTTTTCAAAAACCTTATAAAGTTACCAGTTCACTAACCCCAGACAGAGCTGCCGATTCAAAGATGCAATTCTGCAGAATCGCCCAAGTGCCCATAAATTTTAACTTCATTCCTAACGAAGAAGATCGTTCCACGCGAATTAGCCTCTATCGCGTTACTCTCAATCTTCAATTCGTATTTAATCAAACGTTAGCTTGTATCCATTGTAAATTGTTTTGTTATTAAGGTGAAGTGAAACATGTCGAGGAACTTGATCAACGTCGATAAAGAAGATTTTTCTAAATGCCTACGTTGTCGACGTTCGTTTTTATATTGACAGTTATATCGAATTATATTGGGTATTGTACCAAATGGCGTACTCCACCTGTCGTTTTCGTACAGTAATTATAAAGAAATCGAAGTAAAACTCCAGAAAACCTCTGGATTCGTGCCTTCTGGGGCCCTAATTGACTGCAGAGGGACCCCCTGCGCCATCTGTGATTTCCAGGTCAATTAAATTTTCACTCCGAGACCTCGTATTACCATCGTTTTAGCAAAGAAGCGCATACAACATTTTTTTTGCCTTTATCCCGTTCAAATGCGAGTTTATCGATTACCAAAGTGTTCTAAATTGTCGTAAAATTGTCCCGACCCTTTCGATTCTCATATCAGATCCTTCGATAATTGTATTTTGATCGAAATATGAGAGCTGGACGCCATTTTGATTCTGGTTTAGGCGGAGTTACAAATGTTTTTTTCCAAAAATCCAAATTTTGAATGTGGCAGGACAATGCCTAGGGAATCATATGTCAAGGTTTTGGCAAAGAAGCGCATACAACACTTTCTTTGCCTTTATCCCGTTCAAATGCGAGTTTATCGATTACCAGAGTGTTCTAAATTATCGTAAAATTGTCCCGACCCTTTCGATTCTCATATCAGATCCTTCGATAATTGTATATTGATCGAAATATCAGAGCTCAACGCCATTTTAGTTCTGGTCTGGACTGAGTTAAAAAATTTGTTTGAAAAATCCACATTTTGAATGTGTCAGGACAATTCTTAGATGATCAGGAGTGACGTGTCAAAGTTTCGGACAGTTTGGTCTAGTACCCTTAAAAAAAAAACGGTTGTATTCGAATCGACTGATTTGAAGGATGTTTCACTTCACCTTAACTATACTTAGTCCATACTTTCTATTTCATTCATTTGAAAACCCTCTATCCAGTCTTTCCCGAAGTTCGATTACAAGGGTACGAATCAGTAAGGGGTGCAAAGCAATTTGAAAGAGCAACGAATCTCCGATAAGAATATTCCAGCCACTCGGATTATTTTTTCATCATTCTCTCTGCATCGTTTCCGTCGTCAACATGGGAAGAGCATACTTGGGATACAGAATCCTCGGTCAAGACTCTAACGATCATTTTCCTTCCCGAATCGCTCACTCTGAATTTCTTCATAGAAGTTCAGAACCGTCGCTGCAGACTCCGGTTACGTAACAACTGCGTCGACCTATTTGTAACGTGTGTTTTAGCAAGTATACTCGTCAAACTCAGCTAACTAGTTAAACGATTGTTTCATGAAAATTCCTGAGAAGTCCTTTGGCAATTAGTTTTATACATTGAGAACTAGAAAATAACAAAGTATTGCGAAAATCTGAGACGATCATACCTGAACCTTTCCTTGTCCGTTCTTCTGTCGCAAATTTATAATTTAACATGTACATACACAATGTCCCAGACCTCGCGTACAAGGAGTACATGACTGGATATGAGTACATTGCAATGTTAACGCTACGAATTTCGTCATTAAGAAAATGTAAATGGTACTGTATGCACACGAATGAGTATTTTCGATTTCAAATTTCGGTTATGATTTTTCATACCATTGCCGCAGTAGAAAAAAAAAAAATGTACTGCGCGATATAATCCGGTAAATTAATTTGAATTTAGAAATAACGTGTACTATGTTGATACGCTATTGAACGTGGTACAAAAAACTACTAACCGGTGAAGTAGAAAACGGCTCTTGGGACTATACGCTCCCTGATGTAATGACCAATTTCGAAATCACTAGTTATGAGAGCTTGTGTTTCCTCGTCCAAATCAGCTTCCGAGTCTTCTGGCACTAAAAATATTGACAAGTATAACAAAATTATTTCAACCTTCATTCTTAGGTCCTCCCTCATATCTCACTTTTAGCGTTAAAAGACGTATTTTAGAGCATTGTTAAAAGCAACCAAAGAATTCAGAAGTCTCTATAAAAGCCCAGAAGGATACGGACGTTCGATGGAAGAAAAGCGGAGCTTCCTACATATACTCTTTTTCTGGCAAAAAACTAGACACGATTACCAAAGGAAAAATGTACATTGTTGTATGAAATTGCTGATGATGTGCGCTAATTATTGTTGACAGATGTCAAACTCATACAAAACAAAACTATGGCGTGTCCATAGTAACTTAATATGCTCACTAGCGCAATCTATGAGCAAACGGCGGATTTAAGCTTATACACCTGGTAAACATAATAAGTCATCCCATTCAATTAGATTAGGAAATATTTGAAAATATTTACCAACAGGAGGACTGAAGAAGTTGAAGAAAGAATCGTTTTGCACAATTTTTGTTAACGTGCGTGTAGCTCCTCGAGATTTGTGCTTCTGATTTTTCACAATTGTCTTCACGGTAACGTTTTTACCCTTCTTCCAGTGGATTTCACATCCCTGTTAATAGCATAAAATATACAAAAATTAATTTAAAATTAAATATCGGGTCCTAGAATTCTATCAGGGTTTAATCAAGTAAAACATAACTCTTTACCTTACTCTTGTAGATTTCAGGACCTTCAAAGCTAAAGGGATCGTTTTTATCGGGCGTGCATTTCATTAGGTACTCTTTAGTTAGAACTGCGTTAGTGAAGTATTCGTTTGGCTCAAAATGGAACTCCAGTACGAAACCCTGGCAAAATAACGGAGATGTAAAACACGTAGAACATTCCAGCACATCTTCCCTTTTAGATTAAAAATATAAGAAAAATTTTCCAGAATAACAAACAAAAAAAAAACATTAATTTTAAACAATAACTCTTCACTTACCATAGGGTTGGACTCGAGGAAAATGACTTTCACATCGTACAGATGCTTTAAAATAGGTTCATCGTGTTCTTGCACCATTTCTGCTAACATGGAAATATTTTTGAATATTGTCAACCAAAATTCAGGAATGCCCTTGACGTTTTCATTTTCAATCCTATAACAGGCAACACCGATTAAAATTTAAAAATGGAAACAATCAGCAACCTAGGCATTACGGAAACACCTTACTGACTAAAGAAATAAAATGACTACTAGCAATTACTTTGTTAACGAAATATTTCTTTGTACAAAACAAATGTCGCCCTTGAACACGCGTATTTTGTTCGTTGAGATTTACACGTGTAATTTAATATTTATTTTGTTAGATCTCCTCGACTTTTATTTATAGATCCCGCGAGAAATCAATGATCATTAATCATTCTTCGCTGCGTTAAATGCTTTGTTAAGTTTTTTTTTTTTTAAGTACTAACTACATCAGTATATTCTTATCCACTTAAAATTTAAATTTGCTTGATATTAAGAAATATTAAACTAAATATCAAACCTAACTTTCCTTCTTTTAGGCTGTTATTAATCACAAGTACTGACTGTACTATGAAGTGCCAATTTATGATATGATGACACTGAGTAAAAATGACTTAATTTTCGTTTAAGGTTTATATGATCCGTAAACGGGTCAATCTGTTATATTCCGCACTTGATGATGGACCCTGAATATAAATAAACATACCCGATACAAATTTTCAATTTAACATGTTTTTAGCTTAATACTTTACGTAAATGTCAAAGAAAAACCGTTAAAAATATACAATATTTCCAAACAATGATTAAGAATAATGACCCTGAATGCAAATAAACACACTCGATATAAACTTTCAATGTAACATTTTCTTAGCATAATACTTTAAGTAAATGTTAAAGAAAGACCGTTAAAAATATACAATATTCCCAAACAATGATTAAGAATAATGACCCTGAATGCAAATAAAACACATCCGATACAAACTTTCAATTTTACATTTTTTTAGCTTAATACTTTACGTAAATGTCAAAGAAAAACCGTTAAAAATATACAATATTCCCAAACAATGATTAAGAATAATGACCCTGAATGTAAATAAACACACCCGATACAAACTTTCAATGTAACATCTTTTTAGCATAATACTTTAAGTAAATGTTAAAGAATAACCGTTAAAAATATACAATATTCCCAAACAATGATTAAGAATAATGACCCTGAATGTAAATAAACACACCCGATACAAACTTTCAATGTAACATTTTCTTAGCATAATACTTTAAGTAAATGTTAAAGAAAGACCGTTAAAAATATACAATATTCCCAAACAATGATTAAGAATAATGACCCTGAATGTAAATAAACACACCCGATACAAACTTTCAATGTAACATTTTCTTAGCATAATACTTTAAGTAAATGTTAAAGAAAGACCGTTAAAAATATACAATATTCCCAAACAATGATTAAGAATAACGACCCTGAATGTAAATAAACACACCCGATACAAACTTTCAATATAACATCTTTTTAGCATAATATTTTAAGCAAATGTCAAAGAAAAACCGTTAAAAATATACAATATTTCCAAAGCAATGATTAAGAGTAAAGACGTACGGCTCTTTTTCATCCTTAACTTCTTCGATTTTCACTGTTTTCAGCTCGTTACTGAGGGCTTCCTCCTCTTCGTCACTGCCCCAGGTACATTCCTCATCCGTAGGTTCGTAGAGACCGGAAACGATATTTCCCCGTTTTTCGTACAAAGGTGCACACATTTTGTAATAAGTGCACTCCAGGGCATGTACTTCTTCATAGAACTTAGCTTCAATATTTGTAGTCATTAACTGCAGTTGTTTTAAGGCCTTGAGTCTGCGCTTCACAGTTGACGAGTAATTCTAAAATCATAATGTGTTTATTGTACCAACCTCATTTCTTAAATGGTGTTCTTTTAATGAAATACCTAAAATAGCTTGGTTGCACAATTAAGGTGAAGTGAAACACCCTTCAAATCAGTCTATTCGAATACAACACTTTTTTTTTAAGGGTATTAGACCAAACTGTCCGACACTTTGACACGTCACTCCTGATCTGATATAACTAATAATAAGACACTAGCGATTGTAATATATTCACAGGATGGAAAATAGTACCTTCATCTTTTGCGTGTAAGAACTCTCGTGTAAGGGAGTAAGTATCTCGGATCTGCGAATAACACTCAGGTCTGGCAGTTCTTCCCCGGCAGAATCCATGTCACTGTTGTCTCCGGCACGTTCTGGATCAGTTGTCATAATACTGCAAGTTCAACCGACAACAAACAAACAACACAATTCATATTAATAAATCATTCATTTAATATTCTTAAGGGGATGTGAAAGTGGCATCCGAAGGCTCAATCGTTCATAAAGCTTTTCTACAAATGGGGGTCTCAAATCGTTTCATACTTTAAAACGTGAATATGGAGACTCTAAGGTAGGTCCTGAAACTCCTGAAATTTCATTTATTATAAACAATTTTTAAAATACCTATAAACAGATTCGAAAAGAATTGAAATTTCATGAGTTTCAGGACCTTCCTTATAGTCTCCCTACTTACGTTGTAATGTTTCAACCTATTCGGTAAATTTAGTTCGGAGAAAAGTGTTATAAACAAAATCTCTTCGACGCCACTTTCACATCGCCTTAACAACATGATTTAAACGTAATCTCTGTTCGATCTTGACATTCCAAAAAGGAAAGAAGTTTCATTCGATATGCTTTCTGCTGTCATGCTGCTGTTAATTCATCGTCAAATGTCATAAGATTAATATATGTCATATTTTGTTTACTACTCGTATGGAAAAATGTGACTTTAATTCATACGCGCATATACATTATCAGTCATTGTTTGCTAGTCGAATGAAATTCTAATTGTCTTTAAGTAAAATCAGATAGTTTATCATTACATAATTTCATTGAAAGTCTGATTTGTCATTTAATATCTAACTATTGTCAAGTACCAAGAAATAATTAAAAATAAAAAATTATATAATTTTGGATAAAATTGCGTGATCTTTTTTATTAAATGTATGAAAAATTAATACTATTTTAAGGTAACTGAAATTATAACACTAATATAACATGTTACATGACATGTTACCTTACCGAGTGGGAAATAATAATTAACATCTAACTTCCATGTTACTCTTATGCTACGTAACATGTTAGTTTCGAAAACGTAACATTTACTCAACAGTTATATGACAGTGTTCACTGGGTAACCGTCTTGTGATATTACCAATAGATTTACTAACGGTACAATTCAAAGACAAAAGAGTCGATAATATCTGTAATAAAATATCTCTTACCGGTATACTCAGTTATTTTTAGTAATTTCAAAAAGTGTACGAGATAAATGTTTCATGGTGTCAGAGAGGTTATGTGATATGCGAAACAGATGTTTTACAATCCATGTTTTTCTTTTTTTTTTTTAGCAAAGTATCAATGTCGCCTTAATATTTTAAACAGAAATCAATGTTCTCGTGCATTCGAAAGTTATGAAATGGATTCAGATGAATCGAGCGACCCAGCTTAAGTAACTTTTCAATTAAATGTTCGCAAGATATCACGACTCAAAGTACAAGAATAATGTGAATTCTGATTTATGTTGTACGCATCACTCTTTCACTTTGATATCACTGGAACAGATTAGACAAAAAGTTGTTTAATCTGGGATGATGAATTATGTACGTCTACCATTTGTGTCAGTTAAAAATCGATCCCTACACTGAAAGAGAAAGGTGACATCGATACCTCGTAGGCAAAAATACAGCATATAAGATATCTGTTTTATGTATCATATAGCTCTCTCGATATTATAAAATATTTGTCCGATATCTATTTTGTTACCGAATGTAAAAGGAATTGTTAACTCTTAGACAGAAATTGGGTCATCTCGACCCGATATCATTATATAATAAATGTATTAAAAATATAAATATCTCTTTTCAAACAAAAATTTACGTTTTTTTCTTTTGTTTAGGTCGTTATTAATCACAAGTACTGACAGGAGAACATGGTAAAGTGCCAGATTGCATATGAAGTATCGATTTATGGTATGACGAGACTGAGTAAAAATGACTTAATATTAATTGGATAAATAAATTTTTGATAGTTCTTTCTTTGTGTTTTGTTACTACGGGTCCATATAAATCCAACGGCGGTAAACAATGTGATAATTAAGGAAGGCATAAAGGTTAAAGATTGAAAAAGGTTAATCGGCGAAATCATAAAACAAATCAAGCCAATTATGTAGAAGACAAATGTGGGCAAAAGCGATTAATAAAAAAAAGTGTTGATCACAATTTCTAATAAATTGTAGTATTCATAGAAGTTTATTTAAACAGGTGAGAAAATTCATTTTTCACTTTTTAAACAACGGTGTATCTACAAAATCACCTACGCCACATGGTCGAAGATAACCTGTACAACAGTAAAATTGGAGTTTTTAACGCAGTTGCATTCTAAGTATTAGAACCTTTTCGGATTATTTTTATTCAAATTGGCTAAAACTGTACACCGTTCCCAACGAAAGGAGAATTTTATAGAAAAGGTTATCGATACCGTTGCTTCACTATGACGAGAGAAAGAGGTTCATCGTACTACTGAAAGTACGGGTGCTCCTGCCTAGCCATCGATACATAGTATCGGTTACAAATATCCAATAATGTTTAAATATAATTCTTCCACGTGTAGTTCATTCGTTAACTTAAAACTGACATTTGAAAAGCGCCATATTACTGACGAAAGGAAAAGGTTACTCACGAGTTCACATAGCAACCAGTTCAATCAAAGCATAGCCACGAAAGGCAGTCACGATTCAAGAAATTAATGTCATAATTCATTCGCAACACCGAGGGAAAGAATTCAAGGATGTGACAGAAAAATAAAAAGATCATTCCAAGCAACGGCGTGCGCATGGGATCGTGGCAAATGCTCGATCTGCGTAGTTGTAAAAGCTGTCAGTCTTTTCGCGCTTCGAGCTTAAAACTGCGAACCCAGTTAATCGTTGGAGGAAGAATCCAATTTCGATGATGATAATTCGGTTTGCAATGTCGTACCTTCGGTCAACGAGGCTAGCCAAAAAAGACGAGGGAAACGACTAGTGCAGGCCACCGCACGAACAACGAACCGGTCGCCCTACCGTTGCACGGAAATTGCCTCAAATTAAGCGAACTTAGCTACGTATCGCGACAGCCAGTGTTGCCAAACGCCATATCAGGGGGTCTATTCCGTAAAGCCTTTGAGCGAAAATGTGAAAAATGAGGAGCTCACGGTATAACGGAACGTGTTTGATGGTGAAAATGCGGGATAGAGTTCTAAATCCAGTAAGTTACGTCAGAAACGAAGAGAAATTCCCGGTAACTTATCTGTAACTTCTCCAAAGCCCTTTTTATCGAGAAATTATCAGAATTTGAATTTTTCAACAGAGCGAACGAGAGGTTTCGATTAGCTATAGAGAAACATCGTAGAGGGGAATTTCCGTTGTACGTTCTCCGTAGCCAATCAAAACCTCCCATTCGCTTCGTCGCAGAATGAAATATCAGTTCGTCTGAAACAAATCGCATGGAATTTTCCGTGAAGTTGTACATACGTGAATATTTTTAGCTGGAGGTAAATACGATCCTATAATCAATATTTTCTAATAGTAATTATTACTCTTTAGCTTGAACTTTGAAGTTGATTGAAAAAAAAAAAAGTTATTTAAACGAAGAAACCTAAGGTATAAATAACAAAATTAACGTTCACTTAAATTCTCAATGTTCCCGGTAACTTACGGTATGATTCACAGTTACCTTCTCCAATTTAATGTTACCGAGAATTTTCGAACTCTATGCTCGGCACAAATTCTTAAGCGAAATGGTGAAGCATACAAGAAAAGATAGAAAAATTGTGGCGTCAACACCTAGGACAACGGTACCGCATACACGGTTCAGGCAGAAGCCGCAAGCGGCGCTCCGATAGGACAACGTGCAAATACATCTTAGTCCGCCGTGTAGTTATATGAGTAGAAGAAGTAAAAAGTCTAACGACGGAATTACCGCCAAAATGTGTGCTCTATCAAAGCTGCAATAAAAGAAAGTTTATATACGCCAAATGGGCTCAATAATAAGTATTGTGATAACGTTGACACAGTGTTTTATTTATCATTAACGGAATAAATGATAGACGAGCGAGTCGGGTAAAAATAATGCTAACGCGCATGTGGCCGAACGCGCCATAAAATAAGCACCGTGAACGCCATCTACCACGGATTGCGACACTAAAATTCAAAATGGAAAACCTGGGTATTTTGATTTTTGCCAACAATCGTACTCGGGGATGTAATAATAACCTTATTAGAAGAAGAAAGGAATTAGGTGATGCCCCAAACCCATTTTCGTGAGAAGAAAGAGAATTTACTAGGATGTACAGGTTAGTTTTTATTATTGCGAGGTTATATTACATTGTTAAACATTGAAAACTGTTAAATAATTCATGCTTACATGACGTGATAAGACAATTTTATTGTTGAACTTCTAATTATAGTACACGTAAATATGAATGTAATACATATTTAAAAAATATGAATAGACTCGAGTCCTCCTCTTAACTTTTAACGGCTTTCCATCTTCCCGCCTTTCCTGCCTATAACCTAACCTCTCACAATTTTCGATTTACAAGGTATACACCTTTATTTGTAATATTACTAGACTGGAAGTGCTAGTGATCTCGTTCTTTCATATAGCGAATACGCAATTCGGCGAATAAACCCACGTGAGGTGGAAATGCGAGAAGTGAGCGCGCTCGTCAAACATACGTAATAAACCCCCAGAAATGAGTTGGGAGGTTCCTCACGGGCAGGTCGCGCGATTGTGGGGATTGTCGAATATATTTCTCCACTTTATCTATAGTTACTGCTTTATTATCACAGAAAAAGGAGCGAGTTTCCACGTGCGCTTTAAAATTGGTCAAACAGTTTTCTCTTCGATTTTCAACCGTTTTTAAAACATTTTACGACGTAGTCGTCTTTTAAATGATAAACTATCTGATTTTACTTAAAGACTATTAGGATTTCATTCGACTAGCAAACAATGACTGATAACGTATATGTGCGTATGAATTAAAGTCACATTTTTTCATACGAGTAGTAAACAAAATATGACATATATTAATCTTATGACATTTGACGATGAATTATGACAATGACGATGAGGATGATGTATTAAAATAAATGACAGCACCAATGTAGTTCTGTTTTGTTACAAATATGTGCTGCATATACACAGTAATATCATGACAGTAACATAATGTAACGTAATATCATGACAGTAACATAATGTAACCTAATATCAAGACAGTAACATAATGTAAAGTAATATCATGACAGTAACATAATGTAACGTAATATCATGACAGTAACATAATGTAACGTAATATCATGACAGTAACATAATGTAACATAATATCATGACAGTAACATAATGTAAGATGAGAGTAACAAAGTTATGCTACATTTATATAGATATGATAGTAACAAATGTTATGTAACCTGTTAGCTCCATGTTACATGACTGTTAAGTTACTGCATTGTAACAAATGGCATGTAACTAGTTAGCTTTATGTTACGTAACTGTTAGGTTTGGTATTGAGTGGGTATATGTTAATAATAAATAAGTGATTCAGACATATTTGCCGACTTTATTATAGATAGTGGCGAAATTGATTTATTTCTTACAAAAGGGAGAAGAATCCCGTCAAAATACATCTTTGATATGCAAAAACTTAACCAAACAAATTGTTCATAACAAATTAAATGTGGAACCTGGGTGTAACTCTACGCATGGCCTTTTGATAACTTTCTCATTATTAATATATGGTCTGATGTACTATACGAACAATTAATACAAATCCTTACTTACGCTGTTCTACCCTACCATATCGTAGTGTTATCGACATGTGTGACTAAAAATTGTTGAAGTCTGAAAGCAACGATTTATAAAGATTGTTAACATTAATTTTCTAAGAAGCTCGGGATTAAAAACGAGAGAGATTGTTGATATAGTTTGCTATTATCTATTATATTAATGGATATAAATAATGAAAAATGAAACCTTTATGTTTAGAACACTTATGGAGTATTGAAAAATATTTGTTAGGGAATCTGTGTCTACTTTAAGGTGATGTAAAAGTGGCGTTGAAGAGGTTTTGTTTATAAAACTTTTCTCCCAACTCGGTTTACCGAATAGGTTGAAACTTTACAACGTGAATAGGGAGACTATAAGGAAGGTCCTGAAACTCATGAAATTTCAATTCTTTTCTAATTTGTTTATAGGCATTTTAAAAATAGTTTATATAAAATGAGATTTCGCGAGTGTCAGGACCTACCTTAAGGTCTTCGTATTCACGTTTTAAAGCATGAAATGATCTGAGACACCCAGTTTGTAGAAAAGTTTTATGAACAATTGAGCTTTCGGATGCCGCTTTCACGTCCCCTTAATTGTAAGAAGGGATATGAGTTCGATACTCTTGGTAAGGAAGATCCATTCGTGGTGGAGATGGTTCTTGAGAGTGCAGTTCTTCGTGATGAGACCTCTCGTGCCATCCTTCAGGAATTGGTGAGTGATATAGCCCATAATTTACGCCACTGGTAGCAATTTTTTTTAGACCTTGTATGCTTGACAATATTAAAGCCATTTTAGCGAGAATAAGAGCTTTGCCTCCTAGCACCGCTAGGAATTGAAAACCCATTGGAATCAGCACAGAACCCATCAGGAGCAGGCCCATCATCATCATAGACATCATGTGTCGTTGCTTACGACGCCTTCGTCCTATGTATAAAGTGAAAAACACTTATTAGTAAATAGCTGATGAATAAAACAACAGTACTTTTCACATATTTAGCAAATACAACGATTATCACACAGTAAAATAGTTTAATTACATATTAATGTAATCATACGTCCCTTACACCGATACATACCGAAACTTGGTTAATTTATAAACCAGTAGGCCTATTCTCTAACTCGTAACGACAGCTATCGTTATCGCTAGTCTACCGAAGCGATACCGTAACGACAAAATCTATTCTATAACTTTCTTGAAGCGACAAACGTCGTTAATGTAGCGACAAATGTCGTTATGGGTATCGGTAGTGTATCGAGCCCTACAAGACCTCTCGCTAAGAACGTAACGAGTAACGTCGAAGCGTTAACCAATGAGAATCCAAGAAAACCTCTTCTCTCATTGGTTCCATCGTGTCATTTAAAATATATACAGAGACTCCCAACCAACAAGCTTTAATTAAACGCAATTTATGAATTTAACCAAACAGCAAATTCAGCTTTTGTAATTATTGACGTGGGTATTAATTTTGCGTAAGTTAAGTAATATAGAAGCAGTAAATTCTAAGGTATGCATAACCTTTGTGTGCATGCAAATGTTTAAGAGTGAGATTATGTTTATTCAATATATCTTAACATAATTTGTGTAACATGTACGGTGTATGTATGCACTTTCAATAACTGTGCTGTTTTTCTATTATTTTATAGAAACAATGGCAGAACATTTTCTCGAGTGGGAACTTCTAGTACTAGAAAATCGAGTACGCCAATTAGAAAGACGAATAGAGATGAGACGTCTAAGAGATGCACAAAATCCATTTGACCTTCCTTACAATGAATTTTTAAAACATTTCCGATTAACTCCAGAACTTGCTATGGATATTGTCAATACACTGCGTCCACGATTGGAAAGAGAAAGAATTCATGGCTTATCACTAGAAGTAAAAGTATTAGTAGCAATTAATTTCTATGCTAATGGAAGCTACCAAAATCCAGTTGGTGCAAATATGAACTTGATAGTTAGTCAACCATCCGCTAGTCGTTGCATTCGTATGAAAAGAAAAGACTATTTCAAATACTAATATGAGAAAAAATTGCATTAAGTAGTGTTGAAACTGCTTTTTAATAAAGAGCTATTGAAAAACTATGAACTTCGCTGCCGTGAACCACCATTTTTAATTTGTATCCTTCGTATCTTTCAGTGTTCACAAACTCATCTTAAGAAAACGTGAAATTTCATTGGTTGAAAACAGTTAAACCGAATAGAGAATTGTCGCTAGCATAACGATGTCGTTAGCTCGTTTTGTATCGATAGGGTGTCGCTAGGAGTAGTTACAGAATACGCAATTCGTTAAGCTGTCGGTAGAACAAGCGACGACCATCGGTAACGTAACGATAACGACAGTTGTCGTTACGAGTTAGAGAATAGGTCTACAGAACAATACAAAAAAAGTTTCATTTGGATAGAACAATTACTGCTCGCGTAAGAGGTAAAAGAAGTATTCAAAGGGGTGGCTCACCCCTTAAAAATGAATTTTTTCGAAAAATTCCGAATACATGTTTCATAATTCTTCATTCCCTACATTTTGACGGTTGTTTCATGAAAATCGGTCGAGTGCTTCTAAATGAAACGGTCAACTCACCCCCTTGCACGGCCAACTTTGAAACCTGATTTCACCCCCTAAAAGTGTTTATCCGCCGATAAGAAAAAACACGAGTCCCTTAGATTTTAGTCCTCTATAACATATTTAAAAATGAAGAAAATCGGAGGGGGACACCTCAGGTACCTTCCTTGTTAGATCGCACGCTACTTACTCAAACGTCTCTAAAATGTATGGTGTACTTACCTTCGACCACATTACTGTCCAAGTCATCTTTGATACTATTCTCTTCTGAGTTACTGTTACCAAAGACTTGATCAATGTCTATTTTCAGTACGTGGGTATGAAATAAGCGTGTTACGCGACTCAGAATCATCCTGGGCCAGCTTTCTTTCTTCTGCGTACCATTGTCAACGTTCATCTGAGAGCTAAAGAAAATAAATGTAAGAGATTCAATTATAGATTGTCGATTAAATGTTTGGTCTTTATAACCTCCTAGGACAGTTCTTTAAACCTTACACACCCCAGACACCGTACGAAGTACAATATCCGTATATTACTCGTCTAAATTAGGTCAATAGGTATAGCAAACGTATATCGTCTATCATCCACCTAAAATGTCTTTCGTAAATATATAAATCTATTTTATGTATACGGCTACAAAATATATGTCATGGATATTAAAACGACTTATTTTCGCGTCAATATTCACGCTTATATTTTCAGTACATATATTATAGAAGTCTGAATAATGTATATGGTGTGACGTGGTGGATTTTGGGCCATCCGTCCCATGGATCATTGCAAGTACTTTTTAAATCCCGAAAATATCCCTTCGTTTAATAAATGAATTTAAATAGCCCGCCAAATATTTTAGTTCGCGAAGAAGGTTCACTCCAACCGAAGATGGCGGTAGTGCATAAAGCGTTACACCTAGAGTTCGAAAATTCTCGGTAACATTAAATTCGAGAAGGTAACTGTGAAACATACCGTAAGTAACCGGGAACATTGAGAATTTAAGAGAACGTTAATTTTGTTATTTATACTTTAGGTTTCTTCGTTTAAATAACTTTTTTTTTTTCAATCAACTTCAAAGTTCAAGCTAAAGAGTAATAATTACTATTAGAAAATATTGATTATAGGGTCGTATTTACCTCCAGCTAAAAATATTCACGTATGTACAACTTCACGGAAAATTCCATGCGATTTGTTTCAGACGAACTGATATTTCATTCTGCGACGAAGCGAATGGGAGGTTTTGATTGGCTACGGAGAACGTACAACGGAAATTCCCCTCTACGATGTTTCTCTATAGCTAATCGAAACCTCTCGTTCGCTCTGTTGAAAAATTCAAATTCTTATAATTTCTCGATAAAAAAGGCTTTGAAGAAATGACCGATAACTTACCGGGAATTTATCTTCGTTTCTGACGTAACTTACTGGATTTAGAACTCTAGTCATATCGCATTTGATGCCTCAAGTAACCGGTTTGAATCAGAGATGGCGCTTTATCCTACGTCTTATTTTTGAAACGGCGCCTCGAGTACCAGAGGCATCCGCAGGAATAACGGCGCTCGTGTCGCAAAAATTTAATAGCTGTTTCCCCTTGGGCCTGGCTACTCTCATCTTCTCTCTGGTTTGGGGTAAATATAGAGCTAATAAACTTCAACGATAACGGGCTTTGGCGTTTTTGGGAATTACCGGCGTAACCATTTTGACGCCGGCATCTTGTTTGCTCAAAGTACAAGTTTTCTATTCGTCGAAAGGTAAGAATTAATTCATAAGATCGTTGCCGTTATGAATCTCTCCAATTCTTCACCCGTTTATATGTACATACATACGTATTGTACGAGATATGCGCTTATGATACCTAACCTTCAATTGCGTTATACTTGTAATACATTACATTGTATTAAGAGGGAAGTCATTCATTTGTAAGAGTATTCTCGGTAAAGATTAGTGTGGTTTACTGTGGGGTAGTTATTATTACTTGTAATAATTCAAATCTTGAAGTAAGGGCGAGACACTCAATAATTACGTGTATCTAATTATGAAAGAGAAATACTGAGCGTACCTTAAATTGCAGCACAATGGGGGAAAATAATTTCACAGCAAGAGCCTATCAAATGGATTTATTTGAAAAAGCTGTAAAGGAGAATACGATTATTTATTTACCAACTGGGACTGGTAAAACATTTATTGCAGTGTTGCTGATAAAACAGCTGAGTGGCGATATTCGAAAGTACGTCGATGATGAAATATTCTATTGTTAATAAGTAGCGTAAAGGCTTCACATATCCTGTGTAATAGTTAAGTAACGGTAGATGCGGGAAATGATATAAGAGCAGTTACTTTTACGTGCGGTATCTGTGACGACCTTTAGTGCGGTTGAAATTCAGAAATGTTTTTCAAAAATTTTCCATAGAATTGATCGTTGTCATTATATGTAATTTTAACGATATAATTTATTACATACAAACCTGACCCTCATATTTTTACAGGCCCTTTTTTGAAGGTGGAAAGCGTTCAATTTTTATCGTTAATACCGTACCACTTGTAACGCAACAAAGTGAATACGTTGCTAGGCATACGGGTTTAATTTGTAAGGGTTATAGCGGAGATATGCAAATAGATTATTGGGACAAAAATATTTGGTCTCGGGAAATCGAGCACAATCAGGTATTATTGGAAACATGAAATACTCATCTATTGGAAGTTTATCAAAGTAAAACGTCATTCAACATCCATTACAGGTCCTGGTAATGACGGCACAGATATTTGTTGACATTATATCTCATGGCTATTTGGAATTAAGAAGAGTGAACTTAATTATTTTTGATGAGTGTCATAGAGCGGTTGGTGACCATCCAATGCGTCAAGCTATGCAGCTATTCGAAACATGTGCGGAACACCCAAGAGTATTAGCTCTTTCGGCTACTCTTTTAAATGCAAACATAAAACTTCATAAAGTAGAAGAAACCATAAGGGTAATAGAATTTTCTAACCATGGCATGTTTTACAATTTAATATTATAACGGTATGGTTTCATTGTTTCAGTCGTTAGAAGTAACGTTTCATGCTAAAATCGCAACTCTACAGTCATATGCGATCGTTCAAAATTATGCTACAAAACCAAATGAGTATGTCGTCTTGTTTACACCACTTGAAGCTAATAAATTGATCACTGAAGTTGAGGAAGTTTTAAATGACATGATTTCCATTTTGAACATCGTGCAATTACCAAATGTTTGTACTAACAATGATTCCAGTGATGTGTTCCAACCAAAGAGTAAAAATTCAAAACTGATATGTGTAATTGAAGACATAAGAGACCATGTTTACCAGACAGGTAATTAATATATCATATAACTTCTATATCTGTTGCTATGTCCATCCGACGAGATTTTCCACAGTATTATTAATCCAGTGTTGTAATTACTCTTTTTTTCAATTTTATTCCACAGGTGTTTACGGGGGAAGCAAAGCAGTACTTTTGCATATGATACAACTCGAGCATATAAAAAAATACAATAATGACATGGTATGTCGTTTGCACAATACGGTGATATCAATTAATCAACATTTTGTTTTTTATCGTCTTGCATTTAGAGAAATATTATTTCTTTTATGGGTGTTGTCAAATTTTTCAGCGAACAATATGTGTGTTAGATTACATGATAACACAATTGACAAAGATAAGGAAATTTTTTCATCATGAAATGGAGAAATATACAGAGTTGGAATGTATTCATAAGTGAGTAATAATGATAATTGTTTTTGTTGTTAATTATACATTCTTTTCGCTCTCGTAGATAATTCTATTCGGCGTATACATAGTTTATCGTATGAAAAGCAACTCGTGTGAGCTAACTGTATCACACTTTACAGATTTTCAAGTGATAAAGTTAGAAAACTTTTTACTATTTTGAAGAATTGCGATGAAAATAAATTGAAGGATCAGAAGTTTTGCTGCATTATATTTGTGAAACGGCGGTTTACAGCTAAAGTACTGTATCATGTACTACAGGTAGCTATTTACTATCCTTTTAATTTTCCATAGAATCCATGGTCTTTTGTCCTTAACGCTTATGGACTGAATACATTTTATTTAACTTTACAGAAATTGCATGAAAGTGACAACGATTACAAGTTTTTATTGCCCGAATATGTCATAGGATATTCAAATAATCCATTCAAAAATTCCCGGGAGGTTCTCTGCATTTCAAAATGGAACAAAGAAAGTTTAATAAAGTAAGCATATTAAAAAATGTCTACGGTATCTGGATTGATAAAACATGAGCTGTTTATTTTGAAAGTCCATTTATACTTAAATTCAGATATTTAAGGGTTTGCGTTTCGATGCAATTAAAAATATACGTACAGGATACCAATGAGTACTACTGCTCAAGTGTATCTAAAGGAGTTAAATTTACAGTCCCTATTAAAATAATGCAATTATTAAGTGAATAATATGCGTTTTCTTACCAAGAATGAAGTTGAGCCACTTACAAAATTAACAACCAGATTCGTTATAAAATTTGAAAGAGCCCAAGTCTGTTCGACATAATTTAAAATGCTTCAAATTGAAAAAAACAATACTCAATTTATTTTATATATCTTTACAACACTTCAAAAACAATATTTATGCAATTCGGAACATTTTTTAACTACATAAATTACAAAACAATTTACTGCTCATCTACATTTTGTGTATGTGAAAGGGATTTGAAGAAGTCACGATGTTCCGGTGGTGTATATCGTAGGAGGTCCATTACGTCCTTTAATTTCGCTGGTGTAATTTGTCTTATATTTTTATAAAGTGGGGTCGATACAATATTTTCGAACTTTCTTGGTCTGCCCCGACGTGGTAATAAATCCAGGACTTTAGAATTTTCATTCTCATTCATTGATGTCTTATAGAAAATTTTATATGGTTCATTTCTGACAAAACACATCCAACATATTTTTAACCAGTTTATCGATTCTCCGTTAGAATTCTTTACCCTTTTAAAAATTGCGGCTTGTAATAATTTTATTGATACAAAATCCTCTCGTTTCATTTCATTTAGAATAAAGTTATTGCCTCTCCGGCAATTTTTGATAATATTATAACAATCTTGGGGGACAAACGGTAAATTATTTTTTTTTAATGACATTTCTCCCACGCTAAAGTCTCTATCATTTGGTAAAAACGAATGTCCCAATATTAAAAATTTATGATCTATGATTTCCACATTATGTTCAACAGTTTGGACAATTTTTAGCCACTTTAAAGCTACTTTAACGTTTCTATTTTATCCCGCACACGTGTCACTGTAAGCTGTAATGTGTCTTTCACTTCTTAAATTTTTAACATGTTTAGGATGTATGAAGCTATGATATATGAGCTAGGATATATGAAGCTATTTATTGAACACCTCTCGATGCTATAGTTTCATCCCAAAAGTACATGTAAACATTATCGTTATGAAAATTGTGAATACCCCAATTTAGAACGTACGTATAGATTGGACTTAGGCCACTTTCAAAATGATGGTTTTAATTATTGAACTAACTCTGAAAACTTATGTGTCCAAAATTATCGTATTTACTCGGAATATAATTAACCTCAAATGTTTTATCGATAGACAACCAAGTTGTACATGTAACTACGGACAATCGAAAATAATTAACAAATGGACTTAGGCTACTTTCAAAATTATGGTTTTAATTACTGAACTAACTCTAAAAACTTATGTGTCCAAAATTATCCTATTTACTCGGAATATAATTAACCTCAAATGTTTTATCGATAGACAACCAAGTTGTACATGTAACTACGGGCAATCGAAATTAATTAACAAATGATCTTAGGCCACTTTCAAAATGATGGTTTTAATTATTGAACTAACTCTGAAAACTTGTGTGTCCAAAATTATCCTATTTACTCTGAATATAATTAACCTCAAATGTTTTATCGATAGACAACCAAGTTGTACATGTAACTACGGGCAACCGAAAATAATTAACAAATGGACTTAGGCCACTTTCAAAATAAACGGCTCACATACAGGAGGGTCTTCTAATTGAAAACCTCTTGAAGCGATATAATATTTATTTATTTTATCACGTTCTATATGAATGGACGATGTATGATAATACATGGGCAAGGAATAATATAAAAAAAATAGTTTCACTAGATAATTATTATTTTCTCAGGTTCAGAAATGGTCGATCGAATTGTATCGTAGCAACTGATGTCGTTGACGAAGGCATAGACATACCTGCTTGCACACTGATTGTACGTTTCGATGCACCAATGGACTATCGAGCATATGTTCAAAGTAAAGGTCGTGCTCGGGATTCCGCAAGCCAATACGCACTATTAGTATCCTCCAATGATAAAACTTTTCCAGCTGCATACGCGACATTCAAACAAATGGAGGTGCATTTGGAAGAGGCATGTTGTCTTTACATATTTACATATTAAAAGAGAACAATCGACATGAAAATCTCTACAATTAACAAGGCGTAATTACATAAAATAATCATGACTTTATATGACAATTCACAGATCTTGGTTGGAAAAACTGATAAACGATTACAGCCTAGTTCGGAGGAAATAAAAACGAAATTGTACTCTTATTCGATAGATCCATATGTCGTACAGAATGAGAGTGGCGGTACGAGTGTGTTAACTGAACAAAATGCAATTAGCATGATTAATCGATATTGCAGTAGTTTATACAGATCAAAGTTCATCGTTTTATCACCAACATGGGTTTTACACAAGATTTCAAAATTGGATGAATCTCTGTACAAGGTAATGCACATGTGATCTTCATTTCTTGGTTTCAGGTGAAGTGAAACCCCCTTCAAATCAGTCGATTCGAATACAACACTTTGTTTTAAGGGTATTAGACCAAACTGTCCGAAACTTTGACACGTCACTCCTGATCTTCTAAAAATTGTCCTGACACATACAAAATTTGGATTATTAGAAAAGATTATTTAACTTAGCCCAGAGCAGAACCAAAATGGCGTCGAGCTCTCATATTTCGATCAATATACAATTATCGAAGGCTTTTATATGAGAAACTAAAGGGTCAGGACAATTTTACGACAATTTAGAACACTCTGGTAATCGATAAACGCGCATTTGAACGGGATAAAGGCAAAAAAAGTGTTGTATGCGCTTCTATGCCAAAACGATGGGAATACGAGGTCTCGGAGTGGAAATTTAATTGACCTGGAAATCACAGATGGCGCAGGGGGTCCCTCTGCAGTTAATTAGGCCCCAGAAAGCACGAATCCAGAGGATTTCTGGAGTTTTACTTCGATTTCTTGATATTTATTGTACGAAAACAACAGGTGGAGTATGCCATTTGGTACAATACCCAATATAATTCGACCCAGTTGTCAATATAAAAACAAACGTCGGCAACGTAGGCATTTAGAAAAATCTTTATCGACGTCGATCAAGTTCCTCGAGGTGTTTCACTTCACCTTAATGATTTTTTTAATCCCCTTTTGTTTTTAATTGTGACTGAGTAATTCGTCGTTGCTGCAGGTTACGTTAAAATTACCATCGGTATCGCCATTGAGTGAAACCATTGTAGGTGATGAAATGCCAAGTATAGATGAAGCTAAGCGATCCGTTGCTATGAAAACTTGTATCGCATTGCATAAAATGGGTGAATTATCGAACTACTTATTGCCTATTACTGGGACGAATATTCCGAAGAATACCGACCACTTGTTCCCGCATTGGGACGATGAAGCACCAGAAGTTAATAAAGCTTTCCTGGGCACTAACCGAATGAAGAGGAAGCACGATTTGGTGGTATGTATTAGCTCCTAATATTTATTCATTGAATATAAGAAAATTTATTCATTGAATATAAGAAAATACATGAAACGGATTCAGGAATTCCTTTACCATGGTTAAGCAGTGTGCGTGGCTATGGAAGTGAAACTTCCTTGGATGAGGGTAAGGTTGAGAGAATGTAACATTAAATACATGGAACAATTTTGCTAGCGACTCAAAATGGCGTCACGAGGCTTACCTTACTCCCTCAGCAGAGAGAAGTGGGAGTACCATAGCAGTATATTGTATGAAAATAACCTCCTGCTACGACACGAAAACGCGTCACGTTGTATGCTTTCTCTCCCTCATTAGTAAGATTATTCTTCATCGTGACGGTTTATCGTGTCGCGAATTAGTGGGGAATAGTGGAGAGTGTAATACAGAATTGCGACATCAAAACCCATCACATTTTGTAATTATCCCACCCGTATTCTTCATCGTGACGGTTTCTCGTGTCGTGAATTAGTGGGGTGTGTAATATAGAATTTCGACATCAAAACCCATCACATTTTGTTATTATCCCACTCGTATTCTTCATCGTGACGGTTTCTTGTGCCGTGAATTAGTGAGGAATGTAATATAGAACTGCGACACCAAAACATATCACATTTTGTATTTATCCCACCCGTATTCTTCATTGTGACGGTTTCCCGTGTCGCGAATTAGTGGGGAATGTAATACAGAATTGCGACATCAAAACCCATCACATTTTGTTATTATCCCACTCGTATTCTTCATCGTGACGCTTTCTCGTGTCGCGAATTAGTGGGGAATAGTGGGGAATGTAAAATATAGAACTGCGACATCAAAACCCATCACATTTTGTAATTATCCCACCCGTATTCTTCATCGTGACGGTTTCTTGTGTCGTGAATTAGTGAGGAATGTAATATAGAACTGCGACACCAAAACATCACATTTTGTATTTATTCCACCCGTATTCTTCATCGTGACGGTTTCTCGTGTCGTGAATTAGTGGGGAGTATAATATAGAATTGCGACATCAAAACCCATCATATTTTGTACTTATCCCACACGTATTCTTCATCGTGTCGCGAATTAGTGGGGAATAGTGGGAAGTGTAATATAGAATTGCGACATCAAAACCCATCACATTTTGTAATTATCCCACCCGTATTCTTCACCGTGACGCTTTCTTGTGTCGCGAATTAGACTTACCCCCTTCCATGAGATGTTTCACTTTGCAAAAATGCGAAAGCAACTAAACTGAATTTGTACTTAAACCATTGGCCAGATTGACAATATTCTAAGTGGATTTTGCAAAGATATATTGTTTGAATTAATTTTTATACGCAGCATTCAGAAGCACTTTATAGTGCATTTCCTAAGGCAAATGCAGAAGTCTATCTTCACGTTCTCGATGTCCAACCGAAATATCAGCTTCCAACTGATAACAGACGTCTCGTATTTTATAATTTGTTGAATGACAGGGCTGGATACGCTATTCTATCGTCGAAAAAGATGCCACAGGTATTATTAGCTACTATTATGTATATTGGAATTCAAGCACATTATAAATTGGAATATCTTATTTTTCAGATTCCATCGTTTCCAATTTTTATGAACGTAGGTGACCTGCGGGTCAATGTAATTGTTAATCATTCATCATTGAAGCTGAATGAAGAACAAATTCTATCGCTCTCAATATTCCATTCTATAGTATTCAATCAGGCATTGCAGCTTGTAAAGTCGTTCATGGTTTTCGACAAAGAAAATTTGGACAATTGCTTCTTGATCGTACCAGGTAAGCGATTGAACTCCCGATGAGTAAATTATTCAGATTTAAATAGATTTGTTGTACTTAGATACAAATAGTACGATCCCCTGAACACTTATACAACTTTTAGGTAAATGTTACGTCTTCGAAGCTAACGTGTTATGTAGCATAAAAGTAACATGGAGGTTAGATGTTTGTTATTATTTCCCACTCGATAAGGTAACATGTTATATTAATGTTATAAGTTCAGTTACCTTAAAGTAATATCAATTTTTCATATATTTAATAGAAAGATAATGCAATTTTATAAAAAATTATGTAAATTTTATTTTGTATCGTTCTGGTACTTGGCAATAGTTAGGTATTATATAATAGATCAGATTTTAAATGAAATTATGTGAATGATAAACTATCTGATTTTATTTAAAGACTATGATTTCATTCGACTAACAAACAATTACTGATAATGTGTATGCGAGTACGAATTAAAGTCACATATTTTTATACGAATCGTAAACAAAATATGACATATATTAATCTTATGACATTTGACGATGAATTATGATAATGACGATGACGATGATGTAAAAAAATAATTGACAGCACCAATATAGTTCTGTTTTGTTATAAATATGTCCTGCATATACACAGTAATATAATGTAAAATAAGAGTAACAAAGTTACGCTACATTTATATTGATACGATAGCAACAACTGTTACGTAACCTTTTAGCTCCATGTTTCATAACTGTTAAATTACTGTATTGTAACAAATGTGATGTAACTAGTTAATTCTGTTACGTAACTGTTAGGTTATTACATTGTAACAAACGTTATGTTATTCGTTAGTTTTAGGTTAAGTACGTAACCTAAAACTAATAAATAACATAACATTTGTTACAATACAGTAACTTAACAGTTATGTAACATGGAGCTAACAGGTTACATAACATTTGTTACTATCATATCTACATAAATGTAGCGTAACTTTGTTACTCTCATCTTACGTTATGTTACTGTCCTGATATTAACTGTATATATGCAGCACGTATTTGTAACAAAACAGAACTACGTTGGTGCTAACTGTCATTTATTTTATTACATCATCGTCATCGTCATTGTCATAATTCATCGTCAAATGTCATAAGATTAATATATGTCATATTTTGTTTACGATTCGTATAAAAATATGTGACTTTAATTCGTACTCGCATACACATTATCAGTAATTGTTTGTTAGTCGAATGAAATCATAGTCTTTAAATAAAATCAGATAGCTTATCGTTACATAATTTCCTTGAAAGTATGATTTGTCATTTAATATCTAACCATTGTCAAGTACCAAAAAATAATTAAAAATATAAAATTATGTAATTTTTTATAAAATTGCGTCATCTTTTTTATTAAATGTATGAAAAATTAATACTATTTTAAGATAACTGAAATTATAACACTAATATAACATGTTACATGACATGTTACCTTACCGAGTGGGAAATAATAATTAATATCTAACTTCCATGTTACTTTTATGCTACGTAACATGTTAGTTTCGGAAACGTAACGTTTACCCAACAGTTATATAACAGTGTTCACTGGGATTGAATAACAAGAACATTTTTTTTCTTTTTTTCCAGTTAACAGCAACTGGGATATTAATTGGAATCTCATCGAGCAGTATAAGTTAATACAAAAAATACCACCCTCGGTTCCCTTGAATGTTCAGGAGAATTATAAATTGGCCCTGGTAACACCAAGTTATCGAGCAGTGCCCAGTGTTTACATTGTTACCGACATTTGTAACATGGCTGCAAACTCGCAATTCCCAACCGAAGATTATAGTTCTTACGTCTCCTACTTTAAGGAGAGACACGAACTAACTATACAGGATGAGAGTCAGCCAATGCTGGAGGTGAAACTGATTTCTCCAAAAATAAATTGCATCAGGCCAAGGTATTAAGTTCATTTAGTCTTAAGGGGGTATTATCGTTTAGAAGCTTGTTTCTTAAGTAATTTTTAGGAATTAATTTTGCGAAAACTATCAAACCTCCAGTGCCGGGGTTTTTGACGCATATTAAGACACGTTTCAACTGGCAACACAAATTTTTTTGAAATTTTTTATGAAATTCCCGAAATTGCATTATATAAACCATTTTTTAAATACCTGTATACGAATTAGAAAAGAATTGAAATTTCATGAGTTTCAGGACCTTCCTTATAGTCTCCCTACTCACGTTGTTAAGTTTCAAACTATTCGGTAAACCGAGTTGGGAGAAAAGTTTTATAAACAAAACCTCTTCGACGCCACTTTCACATCACCTTAAGGTGAAGTGAAACATGTCAAGGAACTTAATCGACGTCGATAAAGATGATTTTTCTAACTGCCTACGTTGCCGACGTGCGTTTTTTAAATTGACAGCTTTGTCGAATTATATTAGATATTGTACCAAATGGCACTTAATGGCTACTTAAGTTCCACTTACGCGATGTGATTGCTCGCAAAAAATTAAGAAATGCGTGTTTTTTGCTTTTTGCCAATAAACATTTACACATCGGTTGTAAACAATGAATGTAGGTGGTATTAGGTTATATCCCGACTACCTTTATTGGGTTATATCGTGACCAATTCATCGTACATAAGTCGTGTCAACGTGGTAATTCTTCAAAATGTCATTGATTTTCATAACATGCAATTATTTATAAACAAATTAAAAAATAGTTTCAGAGACTAAGATTTTTCGCTAAACTTTGGGGGGTTGTTGCACCCCTTAAATGTGGACCATTGCAGATATAAAAAAACACGTGTCTCTTAGATTTTTGTGTTCTTCAACATATATGAAACTCAATAAGATCGGAGGTGGACACTTGGGAATGTTTCCTTGTTAAACCACTTTCATAATCATGGGCACATATGAAAGTAACGGTAAGGGCACATATGAAAGTAACGGTAATCTATACATTTCTTTCAGGAAAGTAAACACGAGTTTGACTAAACGCAAACGAGGCGACGTCTCCGAGGATTTTGAAGAGCACTTGGTCCCGGAATTGTGTCATAAGTACACATTTTCGGCATTGTACTGGCTCAAGGCAACCTATCTACCTTCGGTACTTCATCGAATTAACCAACTGTTGGTCGCAGAAGATCTAAGAGTGAAAGTAGCTCTAGAGGCAAATCTGGGAAGATCTAGTCTACCCTTGGGAGAAACCTGGGAGCCTTTGATAATCGTCGACAAAGTCGAGGAAACCGAACCCATACTGGATTACACTTTGGACGACACTCTACCGGAAGCTTCACTTCCGGAACCGGAACTCGTCGGGCCGGAAATCGACGGTAGATCATCGTCATGCTTTTCTCCTTATTAAGTTCAATTTATCTTCATATTTTTATATTTTTCAGTATTAAGCTCCGAGACGAAACTGTACTCGTGGACGAAGGAACAGGAACCCCCGAACCTGGACAAAGACATCGAGCAGATTCAAATCATCGATATTGAGTATTATTACCAGTTCATGAACGTTGTCAACGAAACCGATAAAGAAGCTTTGGTAAAGAATACCGATTACTCTAATTAAGGTGAAGTGAAACACGTCGAGGAACTTGGTCGACGTCGATAAAGGAGATTTTTCTAAATGCCTACGTTGCCGACGTTCGTTTTTATATCGACAGCTGGATCAAATTATATTGGGTATCGTACCAAATGGCATACTCCACCTGTCGTTTTCCTACAATAATTATAAAGAAATCGAAGTAAAACTCCAGAAACCCTCTGGATTCGTGCTTTCTGGGGCCCTAATTGAAGGCAGAGGGACCCCCTGCGCCATCTGTGATTTCCAGGTCAATTAAATCTTCACTCTGAGACCTCGTATTACCATCGTTTTGGCATAGAAGCGCATACAACACTTTTTTTGCCTTTATCTCGTTCAAATTCGAGTTTATCGATTACCAGAGTGTTCTAAATTGTCGTAAAATTGTCCTGACCCTTTAGTTTCTCATATCAGAGCCTTCGATAATTGTATATTGATGGATATATGAGAGCTCGACGCCATTTTGGTTCTGGTGTGGGTTGAGTTAAAAAATTTTGTTAAAAAATCCAAATTTTGAATGCGGCAGGACAATTCTTAGATTATCAGGAGTGATGTGTCAAAGTTTCGGACAGTTTGGTCCAATACCCTTAAAAAAAAGTGTTGTATTCGAATCGACTGTTTTGAAGGGGGTTTCACTTCACCTTAAATAACGCTCCAGAAAGCACGAATCCAGAGGATTTCTGGCGTTTTACTTCGATTTCTTTATAATTATTGTAGGAAAAGGACTTGTGGAGTATGCCATTTGGTACAATACCCAATATAATTCGACACAGATGTCAATATAAAAACGAACGTCGACAACGTAGGCATTTAGAAAAATTTTCTTTATCGACGTCGATCAAGTTCCTCGGCGTGTTTCACTTCACCTTATCTGGTTTATTGGGATAACTTACTATTGCGGGATTTTTTTAATTACAGGTTAAGAGAAACCGTGTGCTAGAGTACTCGAAAAAGCCAACGGTGAAAGTGTCGAAATTAAATATGCTACATCGGAACAACCCCAGGGGCCCTAGCCCGGTGGATATTGCTCAGGTAACCATGAAATTCCCCCAATTATACCATGCAAAACATTTGTCATTTGAAGGTTTGTTCGTTTTGCCTACACTTTTAAGAAAAGTTCACACTTTGGCGTTTGTTTTGATGGAAGTGACGCAGATGGCGCTGTTCGTTTTGCGAGGGCATCTACCCCCAGTGTACACTTTCTGAAAATTGATGAAAATTCCTTTCACAAATTTCAGGTATTGAGGATCAATAAGGGTCAGAATATTATTCCAGTAGAATGAAAAACAATTTAACTACAACAGTGAAAAATTATAGTTTAATTCACATCCTACAATTCGTTCTATTACCTTGTAATTGTAAAAGATGAAAATTCCTTTCACGAATTTCAGGTATTGAGGATCAATAAGGGTCAGAATATTATTCCAGTAGAATGAAAAACAATTTAACTACAACAATGAAAAATTATAGTTTAATTCACATCCTACAATTCGTTCTATTACCTTGTAATTGTAAAAGATGAAAATTCCTTTCACGAATTTCAGGTATTGAGGATCAATAAGGATCAGAATATTATTCCAGTAGAATGAAAAAGAATTTAACCACAACAGGGAAAATGTATAGCTTAGTTCATTCCAACCGCGGTTAGGTAGTAATACATAATTATTGTAAATTGTTTCAAACATTACGTACAAAACTAAAACGCTAAATCGTTCTATACACGAAGAAGATGCATTAATAATTACATCTGTTTATATTACGTTGAGATGTTACCATAAATTTTCTATTTTCCTGTTTGTTGGTCTTTTCAATTTTGAAATTTGCCGCCTAATTCGCGGGCTACCCTTCTTGCACTTGCTCGGGATGCCCTCGCAAAACTAACAGCGACATCTGCGTCACTTCCATCGAAACAAACGCCAAAGTGTGCACTTTTCATACTGTAGAAAGTGCAGGCAAAACGAATAAACCTCTTGTGTCCGACTATCGTAAGCCGCCAATGTCTTTACTAATCGGTGGCGCCATCTTACAGGCGTTAACGAGTAAAATGGGACATGATGCCTTTGACCTGGAACGCTTGGAAACTCTGGGAGATGCATTCTTAAAATTCGCAGTCTCGCTGTACCTCTTCGATTGCTTTCCGCAGTACAACGAGGGACAGTTGACGTCATTGAAGATGAAACTACTTGGCAATCGGAATTTGTATTACTGCGGTAAAAGCAAAGGCGTTCCTGGGCGCATTAAGGTCGACGAATTCGTGCCCAATAGCAACTTTATCATTCCTGCTACAGTGTGCCAAAGAGACGTGCAAACTGTAATGCGCATAGCGGAGGTAAAGGACCACGATCCGTAGAACGATGTATGTACAGTAGGCACCCCCACATCGGAAATATGGAATGAACCCTATTGGAGAATTTAGTGCTTTTTTAGTGCTATTTTAGTGCTACAACCTCGATTTTAGTGCTCCGCCCCTTATACCGAAAATCGGTGGTGGTGCTGAGTGAACGTTCACCCAACACCACCACAGTGCATATTACGTTAAGGGAAAGATTCACGGGAAAAACGAGTATGCAGTATTTTGGTGCTATTTAAGTGCTTTAGGAATACCCAAGGGACAGATCCGAAACATCACCCCTTTCACGCCAAAACTACCCCCGATTGTATAAGTGCCAAGAGAGAAGAGGTAGAAATAATAAGATTTTGCATGTTCTCTTTTCGAATTATTTTGGTGTTATTTAAGTGCCTTAAGGATATCCAAGAGCCAGATTCTAAAGACCACCCCCTTCACCCTAAAACTACCCCCGATCGTATAGACTCGAAGATAGAAAAGGTAGAAGTAATAACACATTTTGCACGTTCTTCTCTCTCATTATTTTGGTGTTATTTAAGTGCTTTAAGGATATCGTGGGTATCCACAGAGCACATAAATAGCACCTAAATAATGCGAAAAGAGAACGTGCAAATTTTCATATTTCTACCTCTTCTGTCTTGGAGCCTATATGATTGGGAGTAGTTTTGAGGTGAAAGGGGTGGTCTTTAGAATCTGGCTCTTGGATATCCTTAAAGCACTTAAATAACACCAAAATAATGCGAGAGACGAACGTGTAAAATGTGTTATTATTTCTACCTTGTTTCTACTCTTCTTTCTTGGAGCCTATATGATCGGGGGTAGTTTTAGGGTGAAGGGGGTGATGTTTCGGATCTGTCTCTTGGGTATTCCTAAAGCACTTAAATAGAACCAAAATAATTCGAAAAGAGAACATGCAAAATCTTATTATTTCTACCTCTTCTCTCTTGGCACTTATACAATCGGGGGTAGTTTTGGCGTGAAAGGGGTGATGTTTCGGATCTGGCTCTTGGGTATTCCTAAAGCACTTAAATAGCACCAAAATACTGCACACTCGTTTTTTCCCTGAATCTTTCCCTTAACGTAGTATGCTCTATGGGGGTGCTGAGTGAACGTTCACTCAGCACCACCACCGATTTTCGGTATAAGGGGTGGAGCACCAAAATCGAGGTTGTAGCACTAAAATAGCACTAAAAAAGCACTAAATTCTCCAATAGGTTTCCTTCCATATTTCCGATGTGGGGGTGCCTACTGTACATACATCGTAGAACGCTGCTGCCGAAATTCTCTCATGAAAGTACTTATATCAAAATCTCACGTGTGCATTTGTTTTCTTACCAGGTATCGCCTAGTGTTTTGTATGAATTGGAAATACCGGCCGAGGAGAGATTGAGTGGTTACGTTAGTCATGCAACGTTGAATTCCATCAAGGAGAAGATATTAGCCTGGGATGATGTTAAAACACATTCCAGTTTAGAACACTTTTTAGGAATGCAAACTGTACCGGATAAAGTTGTCGCAGATGCTGTAGAAGCACTGATCGGTGTCTATCTTAAAGTAAGGAACTTTTTCGGTATTGATAATGAATTTTTCTCAGATGTTTAGGATTAAACTAACAAGGAAGGTATCCCAGGTCGAGCTCTCCGATTTCATTTCTTTTATAATATGTTATAGTAGTCTAAAAATTAAACGACACGTATTTTTTTTCATCGATAATGAATTTTTCTCTGATGTTTCGGACAAAATTGACAAGGAAGGTACCCCAGGTCGATCTCTCCGATTTCATTTCTTTTATAATATGTTATAGTGGACTAAAAACTAAGCGACACGTATTTTTTTTCATCCATAATGAATTTTTCTCAGATGTTTAGGACAAAATTGACAAGGAAGGTACCCCAGGTCGATCTCTCAGATTTGATTTCTTTTATAATATGTTATACTGGAAAAATTAAACGACACGTATTTTTTTTCATCGATAATGAATTTTTCTCTGATGTTTCGGATGAAACTAACAAGGAAGGTATCCCAGGTCGATCTCTCCGATTTGATTTCTTTTATATGTTATAGTAGTCTAAAAACTAAGCGACACGTATTTTGTTATCGATAATGAATTTTTCTTAGATGTTTAGGACAAAATTGACAAGGAAGGTACCCCAGGTCGATCTCTCCGATTTCATTTCTTTTATAATATGTTATAGTGGACTAAAAACTAAGCGACACGTATTTTTTTTCATCCATAATGAATTTTTCTCAGATGTTTAGGACAAAATTGACAAGGAAGGTACCCCAGGTCGATCTCTCAGATTTGATTTCTTTTATAATATGTTATACTGGACTAAACAGTAAGCGACACGTATTTTTTTTCATCGATAATGAATTTTTCTCTGATGTTTCGGATGAAACTAACAAGGAAGGTACCCCAGGTCGATCTTTCCGATTTGATTTCTTTTATATGTTATAGTAGACTAAAAACTAAGCGACACGTTTTTTGTTATCGATAATGAATTTTTTTCAGATGTTTAGGACAAAATTGACAAGGAAGGTACCCCAGGTCGATCTCTCCGATTTGATTTCTTTTATAATATGTTATAGTAGTCTAAAAACCAAGCGACACGTATTTTTTTTCATCGATAATGAATTTTTTTCAGATGTTTAGGACAATACTAACAAGGAAGATATCCCAGGTCAATCTTTCCGATTTGATTTCTTTTATAATATGTTATAGTAGTCTAAAAATTAAACGACACGTATTTTTTTTCATCGATAATGAATTTTGAATCTGAATTAACAAAAACTCGCTGTTAGCTCGGCATGATTTACAAGGTATAAAAAATGTCTACTTGATAGGAACTAGGAGCGGAAGGAGCCGTGAAATTTTTAACCTGGCTCGACGTTTTGCCCAAAAACATTGATATTAAAAAAGTGTTCTTCCAAGCATCCGAAAGTCCAAGATATGGGGAAGGTAACATCAACATTCACATGCCGTGGGCCAACTACATAGAGGAAAAAATCGGCTACAAATTTAAGGACCGTGCTTTTCTATTACAGGTAATTGTTTATATTTCTGGTAATGAAATACTTCACCTAAAGTTGCAGACAGCAGATTACCGGATGATTTATGTATGTAACTGTGTAACGTTAATTACAGGCATTTACGCACCCCTCATATACACCTAATAACATTACGCCATGTTATCAACGACTTGAATTTCTGGGTGACGCAATACTAGGTAAATATCAATTTACAGAATTTTATACAGTTGAATATATTTGAAAACCACATTATTAAATTTCTTTTCAGACTTCTTAATTACTCTACATATATACGAGACGTTTGAGGATTTAAATCCTGGAGAGCTTACGGATCTGAGATCTGCTCTTGTAAATAACATAACATTCGCGTGTTTAGCAGTTCGTCATGGACTGCATACAGCTTTATTGGCATATGCCCCACTGTTAAATGACATAATAGATCGGTTCGTCAAATTCCAGGAGGAAAGGAATTTCGTAATTAATGACGAGGTATAATCAGTAGAGGTTATTCTACATTTATTTAAGGTGAAGTGAAACCCCCTTCAAATCAGTCGATTTGAATACAACACTTTTTTTTAAGGGTATTGGACCAACTGTCCAAAATTTTGATACATCACTCGTGATCATCTAAGAATTATCCTGACATATTCAAAATTTAGTTACTCGTAAAACATTTTGTAACTTAGCCCAGATCGGAACAAAAATGGCGTCGAGCTCTCATATTTTGAACAATATGCAATTATCGAAGGCTCTGATATGAGAAACAAAAGGGTCAGGATAATTTTACGACAATTTAAAACACTCTGATAATCGATAAACTCGCATTTGGACGGGATAAAGGCAAAAAAAGTGTTGTATGTGCTTCTATGCCAAAACGATGGTAATATGAGTCCTCGGAGTGAAGATTTAATTGACCTGGAAATCATAGATGGCGCAGGGGGGCCCTCTGCGGTCAATTAGGGCCCCAGAAAGCATGAATCCAGAGGATTTCTGGAGTTTTACCTCGATTTCTTGATATTTATTGTACGAAATCGACAGGTGGAGTATGTCATTTGCTACAATTAGAGTTCTAAATCCAGTAAGTTACGTCAGAAACGAAAAGAAATTCCGGGTAACTTATCGGTAATTTCTCCAAAGCCATTTTTATCGAGAAATTATGAGAATTTGAATTTTTCAACAGATCGAACGAGAGGTTTCGATTAGCTATAGAGAAACATCGTAGAGGGGAATTTCCGTTGTACGTTCTCCGTAGCCAATCAAAACCTTCCATTCGCTTCGTCGCAGAATGAAATATTAGTTCATTTGAAACAAATCGCATGGAATTTTCCGTGAAGTTGTAGATACATGAATATTTTTAGCTGGAGGTAAATACGACCCTATAATCAATATTTTCTAATAGCAATTATTACTCTTTAGCTTGAACTTTGAAGTTGATTGAAAAAATAAAGTTATTTAAACGAAGAAACCTAAAGTATAAATAACAAAATTAACGTTCTCTTAAATTCTCAATGTTCCCGGTAACTTACGGTATGTTTCACAGTTACCTTCTCCAATTTAATGTTACCGAGAATTTTCGAACTCTAGCTACAATACCCAATATAATTCGACCCAGCTGTCGATATAAAAACGAACGTCGGCAACGTAGGCATTTAGAAAAATCTCCTTTATCGACGTCGATCAAGCTCCTCGACGTGTTTCACTTCACCTTAATAATTTAAGCCTCTCTTACGGGTATATGTAATGCTTTTTTTCTTTTTAGTTGTTATGGATACTTCTGGAAGAAGAAGAATGCAATATGGCAGAACATGTTGATGTACCGAAAGTCTTGGGAGATATCTTTGAATCTGTCATCGGCGCCATATATTTAGATACTGGCAAAGACCTTGTGAAAGTTTGGGAAATAGTCTACGCTCTGATGAACAAAGAAATCGGTAAGATTGCATCATTCACGAAACTTGTTATTAGATTCCTAGCTGGATGGATACATAGAATGTCGTTCAATTTATGTGAAAAGGAGGTCTTCATTTTCATATGGGATTGATGGATTTAAATTGTTTTAGAAACATTCAGTTCCAATGTTCCTAAGCAGCCTATACGTGTCATTCATGAAACACCAGGAGCAAAACCAGAATTTACGTAAGCATATCAGTGATATTTCACTTAGTCTAGAATTTTACATCTACTAGAATATATGAGCCGTTTATTTTGAAAGTGTCCATTTATGTTCGAATCGAGATATTAAAGGATTTGCGTCGGATTAAATTTTAAAATATGGGTAACAGACAACATAGTAGAATAATGTTTTTGGGTTCCTAAGGGTGTCAAATTTATCATCCCAATTAGCATTATTAACATTATTTAAGAAATAATATGATTTTATGACTACAAATGGACCTACGCCACTTTCAAAATCAATGAAATGACGTTTACAATTCTTAAGAAAGCACAAGTCCATAGGAAAAATAATTTTCCTTGAAATAAAAATAAATGTATACACTTTCATGTTATAAAATCAGAAAAATATTCAACTTTTATTCTTTGTTAAGTAATTTTTACATTAAAATTAATATTGTTTTATTAATTGTTATTCAGTCTTCTCCAGTTTGTGTATGCGGGAGGGATTTAAAATAACTATGGTGTGCAGATGGTATATAATGTAATAAATCCATTAAGGTGAAGTGAAACACGTCGAGGAACTTGATCGACGTCGATAAAAATTTTTCTAAATGCCTACGTTGCCGACGTTCGTTTTCATATTGATAGCTGGGTCGAATTATATTGGGTATTGTACCGAATGGCATACTCCACCTGTCGTTTTCGTACAATAATTATAAAGAAATCCAAGTAAAACTCCAGAAATCCTCTGGATTCATGATTTCTGGGGCCCTAATTGACTGCAGAGGGACCCACTGCGCCATCTATGATTTCCAGATCAATTAAATTTTCACTCCGAGACCTCGTATTCCCATCGTTTTGGCATAGAAGCGCATACAACACTTTTTTTGCCTTTATCCCGTTCAAATGCGAGTTTATCGATTACCAGAATGTTCTAAATTGTTGTAAAATTGTCCTGACCCTTTCGATTCTCATATCAGAGCCTTCGATAATTGTATATTGATCGAAATATGAGAGCTCGACGCCATTTTGATTCTGGTCTAGGCCGAATACAAAAATTTTGTTAAAAAATCCATATTTTGAACGCGTTAGGACAATTATTAGATGATCAGGGGTGGTGTGTCAAAGTTTCGGACAGTTTGGTCTAATATCTTTAAAAGAAAAAGTGTTTTCTTCGAATCGACTGATTTGAAAGGGGTTTCACTTCACCTTAAGGTAGCTAACTCGATTTTTTTAAAAATGGACCTACGCTACTTTCAAAATAAACGGCTCATATGATCGTTATAAACTCTGCTGCCGTTACTTTGGAGATTACTAAATTATAAATTAAGTAATTGGAGGGAATAACAGTATCTGTATTGTATGGTGACCACGATTATTAAGTAAAATTATGTATTTTGTTTCAGGCAAGCTTCTACGATAGAAGGCACGAACACTGTAATGGTGTCTTTATATGTATTCGATGGTGGGAAAAAGAAATGCTTCCATGGATTTGGTGGTAATAAAAAAGAAGCTAAATGTGCTGCCGCCAAACAAGCATTGAAGTATTTGAGGTGTAAAAAGTAAAATTGTTGTGTTGAAAATGTTAAATCGGTTCTAATGCGAATAGTTTACATAATGTAAAAACACACTTTCGGTGTACAATAACGTAGCCGAATACATTTATCTTTGGTCTATTAATTGCAAACGTAGCTCAAATTGCTTCCTTCCCATAAAAAGCTCAAATCAATTATTTTGGCCAAATTCATTCCATTGAAATCCCTGCTGAAATCTTCTTGTCAAATGTTACAATAAAAACTGTATAGAACCAAATAACAAAATTAGGAGCTAAATTTGAAAATAATATTTTATTTGGCGAGCACCGAAAGGATCATATGCTACGAGTACATCTCGGGTGCTCACCAAATAAATTATTGTTTTCAAATTTAGCACCGGTTTTTTTTTTTATTTGGTTTGATATAGTTTTTAATATTTATCTTTGGTTTGAGGAAGTCGAAAATCTTGTACATGCAACATACGTGAAACAAAATATACTGTAACATTTCGCAAAAAGATTTCAGCTAGGATTTCAATCGAGTGAATGTTCCACTATATTTGGCAAAAACAATTGATTTGAGCTTTTCATGGGAAGGAAGCAATTTTACCTATTTTTGGAATTAATTGGCGCAAGATAAATGTAGTTAGCTAAGTTTTTGTACACCAAAAGTGTGTTTCGAGTGGGTTTAATTTATTTTTATGAAAGATAAACATGTTAATGTCTCTATGTCATAAAATTTGTAATACATCTACTGTTCATTCTTATAAATTGTAATCGATTATTTTATCTTTTCCTTTCCTTCATCATGGTCCGTAATCTTAGTCCTGCGTAGACATTTAATTTCCAGCTTCGTAATAAACTCTTCGAAAGGTTACATCCACATTCATTTTGAAACTGTGAAAGATCTTTCATACTGTTTACAATATGTAGAACATATGTAGAACATAATACAATGTAATGGAAATTTATTACGTGTATGAACTTGAAATCCAACAATGAGACATATTGAATACGAACTCTGCATTTAATCTGAATTTCCTGAGTTCTCGTCACTGACATATTTGGTCGTATTCGATATATTTCTATGCGTAACACATTCCTACAATGTACAATAATCTAATTGATCTACTGTCAATCCAAATATTATTCTATAATTAGACAGTACGTTTCATTATGGTCCGTAATCTTAGTCCTGCGTAGACATTTAATTTCCAGCTTCGTAATAAACTCTTCGAGAGGTTTCATCCATATTCATTTTGAAACTGTGAAAGATCTTTCATACTGTTTACAATATGTAGAACATTGTAATATAATGTAATAGAAATTTATTACATGTATGAACTTGAAATCCAACGATGAGACATATTGAATACAGAGTCTGCATTTAATTTGAATGTCCTGAGTTCTCGTCACTGACATATTTGGTCGTATTCGATATCTTCCCAGTGAAAACTGTTAACTCCCTTGGACATGCCAAATTTTTAGGTGCCGCCCTTTACTTCGTCCTTGAGTGTCCCAGGTGACTCGCACATGGGGTCGTCCGAGATCGACAAGAGTTGCCCGGGCACGGAAAATTCCAAATACCACTAGGTAGTCGAACACTTGGGCGCCTTGGAGTAAACCTTTTTATGGGTTTATTAGGGTTGGACCATTTGAAACCGGAAATTTAGCAAATCCAAGGGTTTTTTTGAGGATAAATGAGCCCATAATTATGAAAGTGGTCTAAGTCAAAATTGAAAAGAAATGAGTTTATCAGTTCTTTCACCCCACATTATTTTAAACAAAATTAATTCAATGTTATTTTTACGATATTGTGAAAAATGAACCATTGGATAGTGGTTGTAATTTCAACATTATATGGAATTCATTTGGTGTTAATTATGAAAGTGGTCTAAGTGAAAAATTTAAAGAAACTATATAAACATAACCTTAACATGGCACGTGGCCCTCTTTGGCGCGTTTTTTAACTCCACGATAAGCTGACAAATGACAATCAAACGATAACAGAAACGACAATACTTTCCGGTCTACCTAACAATATATGGAATTCATTTAGTTCTATTTTGAAAGTGCATTCATTCAGTTGGGCTCTTCCGAACTAATTATTGGCGGAAAAATAATTTATATGTTTTACCACTATGTCAACGGATAGCGGTTCAGGTAAGTTAATGACAACGTACTTATTATGTGAATATGTTAATTATTATTCGGATACGATGTGACTAGCAGATATTATACGGCCACGTAATACTTCTTTAGATGATTCTAAATTCCACGTTTTGGATCTTTCACCTAAAAGAGGAAGACCAAAAATATACGGAAATATTAAATTACTTCCATTATACCCCACCACTAGACCAGTAACGGAAGAAAAACATAAAGATATTATGTGTTTATTACCATGCATCCCTCCAGTTTTTCAGGAACATTTTACGAATCTTAAAAACTCACAATGATAAAAGCCTATAATGATAAAAATGGATTACTTTTTAAAAATAATTAATAAATGTTCATAAATTATTTATAAAATGGTCTAAGTCAATTCAAACTTTAAAAACATTTTCGTATGAAATTCACAGAAAATCTCATATTCATAATAAATTACCATTAATCAAGACTAATAAAATTCTACATTAAAACGTTGCATGATATAAAAATATTTTTTAATTTATTCAAATGCAATTCATTAAATATCTCGAAACAAGAAATATATGACTTAGACCACTTTCATAATTATGGGCACAAATGAAACCGTGAGTGTGAAGCAATATACGTTGCTCTGTTCGACGTATAAAATAAATTGCTACGACCACTGTAAAGCGATAAAGAAACGCGAAGGAGAGTTGTTCTCGGCATTGGGGCTGAAATCCTGAGAATTTGAGAAATCCGATTATTAAACATGTGGTTGAATCTAATGTGTCAGGATGTATGTACGCAACACTCTTGAAGATCTTGCTGTGTGTCGTCTCGTCAGCTCGGCAGAATGGTATTTGGACAGTATGCTGCCCTGACAGAATAAACGGTCACATTCTCTAAGACGTTATTGGATTATGTAGAAAATGAGATTTATTCGTTTGAAATCCTCTATACTAATTATGGAAAAGTTTCAGACAAATCCATTCCTGTATCTTTAAAAGAAATGTAGTCTCGGAAATTAGTTCTTACCGACCATTCAAAGCTGCCTTTCACGTCACCATTTAACTAAATTTTGATATAAGAAAATTTCATCAGAAAATATTATTCAACATTAAAAACTGTACCTTGAAAATTCAGCGTTGGTCACGTTTGTATCATTTCTATGGAGACGCATCAGATTTATACCATCAAACACTGGAATCACGTTTTCCTCAAGAAAAGCGTCGAATGCCAGAACTGCATATTGCTGTATACAATCACGAAGAATGATAAGAAATTCTTCTGTACTGGAACCATTCCACGGTACAGCTGGACAGTCTTTCAATAGAGAACGTAATCGCTGAACCCATTCTGTTGTTTCATCTCCCCGAATTATGTTAGAACCACCGACTGACAACAGTATTATTAACTGCAAGACACTTGTTTTCATCTGAAATCATTTTTAATGTGGTACATAATATATGGAATATACATGATAATTATTTTAGTAGGAGATTATTTAGAAAATTACTAGTCTTATTTTTCAGAATAGGTACAAATAATAATTATGGAACACCATCAGTTTCTACAAGTATCATCGATTACGATTGTTCAAGATCTAGCATTTCAAGCGCGACAATAGCTTTGTTACGCCATCTTACCATCCATTAGGAAATTCGAAAACCGTTAGAAACTCTGATTCGCGAATTAACTCTGAAGTGGTGTCACGTCATAAATAGAAGACGCCCGTAAGGCTGCTACACTGCATACAGCCGAATGCAACCCTACCGACGTCCTTCCACTATGCCTCCAGTTTGGGAACGCGATTAATTGGCTGTGCTTTATTTACAAGGAAGGTACCTGAGGTGTCCCCCTCTGATTTTGTTCATATTTAATATGTTATAGAGGACACGGCACAATTCGAAGAAGACGCCCGTAAGGCTGCTACACTGCATACAGCCGAACGCAACCCTACCGACATCCTCCCATTATGTCTTCCGTTTGGGAACGCGATTGATTGGCTGTGCTTTACTTACAAGGAAGGTACCTGAGGGGTCCCCTCCGATTTTGTTCGTTTTTAAATATGTTATAGAGGACACGTCCCAAATCGAAGAAGACGCCGGTAAGGCTACTACACTGCATACAGCCGAACGCAACCCTACCGACATCCTCCCATTATGCCTTCCGTTTAGGAACGCAATTGATTGACTGTGCTTTATTTACAAGGAAGGTACCTGAGGTGTCCCCCTCTGATTTTGTTCATTTTTAAATATGTTATAGAGGACACGTCACAAATCGAAGAAGACGCCGGTAAGGCTGCTACACTGCATACAGCCGAACGCAACCCTACCGACATCCTCCCACTATGCCTTCCGTTTGGGAACGCGATTAATTGGCTGTACTTTATTTATAAGGAAGGTACCTGAGGTGTCCCCCTCCGATTTTGTTTATTTTTAAATATGTTATAGAGGACTAAAATCTAAGGGACTCGTGTTTTTTTTATAGACGGATAAACATTTTTAGAGGGTGAAATCAGGCTTCAAGGTTGGCCGTGCAAGGGGGGAGTTGGCTGTTTCACATAGAAGCACTCGATCGATTTTCATGAAACAACCGTCAAAATGTAGGGAATGAAGAATTATGAAACATGCATTTGGAATTTTTCGAAAAAATTCATTTTTAAGGGGTGAGCCAGCCCTTTGAATACTTTTACCCCTTACGCGAGCAGTAATTGTTCTACCCAAATGAAACTTTTTTGTATTGTTCTGGTCTATAAATTACCCAAATTCTGATCTGTAAATTACCACAATAAACTAAACGAACATTATATGATTTTAAATTCTATATTTTACTATTTTTTAAATAAACCTATCCGCTTTGAGCTTGGTTCCCCTATTTATTAATATTCAAATTCCTTTACATGAGATAATTGAATAAGCTATTAACAAATTCATCGTCTAAAGCTTAAAAGATAATTTAAATAAATTTTTTTATTCACTGTAATACGCATTAAAGGCAACGTGAAGGATATAAGCAGTATTAGATTCGTATATTTAATAACTAAATAACTTACCTTGTATGCCTTGACGGTTTTGCAAAATGTTCGATTACTGTCAGAATTGGATAATTAATGTTAAGCAAATGTGAAAAACTAAAAAAGTGATGAAAATTCTCTGCTTGTACGGTTAAGTATCTGAATAATATTGTCGCACTAGTTTACAGATCAAGAACTGCTTGATCTGAGTTCTACTTCATAATGGTATGACCGTCAAGTTCACCTAGGTCTTACCTGTATGTACATTTGTACATATATGACTATGTATACGGTCTCAATTACACGTTAAGCGACATACAGTAAGAGAAACAGTCCTTATTACGAACAATAGAGAGGTAAAGGGGAGGTAAAGCTTTATGCTCCACTAACTGTAATTTTGTATCATTAGGTACTAGCCCCAAAGTATGTATTACATATACTGAGCAGAATTGCAGTTCAACCAACTTTTATGCTACATAACGGAACAGTTAGCAGATAAGTCTTACAAAATATTCCCTGTAGAAATATTAACATGTATCATTTTTGTATTGGTACTCTATAGAATCATTATGACTAATGGTTTTTATTGTTTTATTACAAATAAGCCAAATGATGTTACAGGAAACATAAATGTTATTCTATTATTATGACTAATGGTTTTTATTGTTTTATTACTAATAAGCCAAATGATGTTACAGGAAACATAAATGTTATTCTCTTATTATGACTAATGGTTTTTATTGTTTTATTACAAATAAGCCAAATGATGTTACAGGGAACTTTATGTATAGAACGATTTAGCGTTTTAGTTTAGTACGTAATGTTTGAAACAATTTATAATTATTATGTATTACTACGTAACCTCGATTGGAATGAACTAAGCTATAAATTTTCACTGTTGTGGTTAAATTCTTTTTCATTCTACTGCAATAATATTCTGACCCTTATTGATCCTCAATACCTGAAATTCGTGAAAGGAATTTTCATCTTTTACAATTACAAGGTAATAGAACGAATTGTAGGATTTCAGGAAAACGAAGGCAGCTGAAGAAGGAAGGCTGGAAGAAGCATTACATTTTTGTATTCATCATCATCCGATACAGATAACCTCAAGATCGTGTATCGCTGTACTAAATGTCATCTTGGACTTTCGTGAGGTTTCTGGCGTTCGGGACGTCGATGAAAGTGTATCGACCGTTCTGCACTTTTCAAGGAAAGTGTAGCGCACTCGTTACCCTTGAGTGTAGAAAGTGCAATCAACGCAAACGAACCTGTAATGTGTAGAAAGTGTAACTAAGAAGAACAAACCTAGAATAAAGTTTATGTTCCTTGCACGATATTCATCATCATAAGGAATATATTTACAAGGGTACGTTTAAAATTAGTCTGGTAGATTTAAAACGGGTTTTTGTAAGTCTTACATGCTCATATTTAGCACAGTAACAAATTTAATATATTATAGTAGTGAGATATCTACTTTCAGACGTATTTGTATTTCTAATTTGTGGTATTCTTAACCAACTTCAAAAAGGAAAGAGGTTAAGAATTCGATTCGACCCATCGATGCATTCCAGTTTACGTTAGCCGCCTGTACTGTCCACCGAGGGCAGCACGGGTTGTATTATCTGGTATTACGTAAAGCAAATTGAGCGAAAATGTGAAAAATGAGTAGCTCACGGTATTACGGAACGTTTTTGGTGGTGAAAATGCGAGATCATTCGTATGAATTGGCTCGGAACAAATTTTTAAGCGAAATGATGAAGCATAGACTCGCTTTCATATAGCGAATACGTAATTCGACGAATAAACCCACGTGAGATGAAAGTGCGAGAAGTAAGCGCTCTCGTCAAAAATACGTAATAAACGCCCAGGACGCGATCACGCAACCCTGCCCGTGAGATATCTCCCAAATCACTGTTGAGTCATGCGATTTACTGAATCTGGATTTGATAAATCTCGGATTTAGGAACTCGCTTTCATATAGCAAATACGTAATTCGACGAATAAACCCACGTGAGATAAAAGTGCGAGAAGTGAGCTCTCGTCAAAAATCCGTATTAAACACCCAGGATCACGCGATCACACAACACTGCCCGTGAGATATCTCCCAAATCACTGTTGAGTCATGCGATTTACTGAATCTGGATTTGATAAATCTCGGATTTAGGACTGCGATGGAGACGTAGTTTTGTGGTGCATTATCGAACGCACCCCCAGAAATTGAGTGAGTGGCATTGAGATGGCGCTGCATGAAAACTTTTAAACTAAGAAACGTTAGCGGGAACAACGGAAATGATTGGGAATAGGTAGTAGACATAAAAAGTCTTGTTTGAGAGTTCACGGGTCAAGTTTCTGACCGGTAATTACTATAACGTTAATTGTTAGGTTAGTACATGTTTACTTTCGGCACGTTGTGAACGGGAAGTGTTTAATTATGCTTGATAATTAGTGTAACATAAGTTAAAGACTGGATACATATTTTTTCCTCCGCCCTCTCTTACCAGGGATTTCTATTTAATTCGAATCACAAGAGGAACGGTGCCATTCAAACTGTAAAATATTTTTCTGAATTTCATACTTCCAGTGCGTGGTACTGCGTTTTTAAAATATGCTATATAGTTCAATAAATAATTGGCTGAAACGCAAGATGGAGAAGTTGTACAAGGGAGGATTAAATTGCATTTTTAACCGTTTGACTGCTAAGCAATTTTTGCAAGACGCACGAAAATTGCGAGACATATTTTGACACACTGAAACTCGCAGCGCAAAAGCACTGCGTCGTGGTTTTCGAGACAAATGAACGCAGCGCTTTTGCGCCACGTAGCAGTCAAACGGTTAAATATTCCTTTTTCTAATGTGAAAGACGGAAAGCATTCTTTTTATATGCTTTCCTTTCTTGTGCAAGATCGGTGAAAATAGAAAGTTTCTGAAGTCTTAAATATTGTTAACGATAGGCTATGTATATCGTTTAACTTCTTTTATCTGTGCATAACAAAGTGTATTTTATCTTTTAGATTTTTTACCATCATGTGGTCGAGAGGAAAGGTCCTGGAATTCTTTGGGAAGGAATTATCGGATGTGCACAACACTTATACAAAAGTTAAAGCGTCTTTTAAGAATGAAGAAGAAGAACTATTCAATTTCCTGGAAAGTTTAGTTTCACAGATACCAGAATCACGTGCGGGGCCTTTAATAGCAAAGACGCCACGAGCAAAACGCAAGAAAGGAAATCTTAAGATCGATACGATTCCTGAAAATTATGCAACCAGTTATGATAATGATTTTACTTTGACCAGTGTGGATACAGAGCCACATACTACAGAAGTCAAAAACGTGATTATAGAAAAGATTCTAACAGGTAGAGCGAAACGTGAAGCATCCAGAAAAGCAGCGGATAATATTAAGAAACAACAATCGCTGACTCTGACGACTAAGTTACGTAGGCCTTCCAGTGAGGAAGAACAGAACGCTCGAATTAATAAAGTGAGTTTGGCAAAGTATTACCATATATCGATTATTGTAACTTGTAAATTAATACTAAGGATTTAATAATTTTTTAGGCAAATCAAGAAACTCGAACAAAGCGACCGAAAGCAATTCTCAGCAGCTCCGATGAGGAAGAAGTACAAAGACCTATGAAGCATAGCAAGGTGAATGGCAAGCTACAGAAAAGAAGCTCAGAAAGGAACACAGAAAATCAATCGGACAAAGTGGATAATGAAGAGGCTTTGCCAAACGTAAAGAAAGGGAAACCCTTAACGAATAAACGGAAATATGAGGATACTAATATCAACTCCCCCAGTTCCAGCAGAAGCTCTTTAATCAGGTTCAAAGAACCTACTTTGAAAAAGATGAACGTTATGAATGAGTCACTGGAGAGGACAAATACGAATGAAACAGTGGATGCTTCAATATACGAAGATGCCATTGGCAAAAGTGGTCCCGTAATGAACTCTACGATGAACTATAGCAATACCATAGGAACTTTCGATAAGAAAATGATGATGAATGTCACTGTAGTTCTAGATCCATTACCGATGCATGGAAACATCAACAATGAAACTGTTGTACTTGAAAAGAACTCATTTCAGAGGCCTGTCACTAGAAGTAGAAGTAAAAATAAAAGTAGTCAAAGCAGTACTTTGATTCAGGAAAAAGCTGCAATGGAATTAGCTTCTTCCCCGGAGAGCGTTACAAACGGTGGCACCTTAGCTCCTCAAAGTGAAAGCTTAAGGCCTACTATATTTAAAAACACCGAAGAGTTGATAACTGACGATGAATCATCTCCAGAAAGAACGTCTCCTAGAAAAAAGACATTACAAAGAAAACAGAATCTGGATGGGTCCAGGAAAAGGCTAGCTCTTTCGAACTCGAGCAGTGAAGAGGATTCCGAAATCGAGTCAACACCTGCCAAAGCGGTGTTACAAGAGGTAAACCTCTGCAAGCCTAACAAAACCTTCGTCAAGACTGCCTTGTTCAGTCCATATGCAAAAGATTCCGTGAAGAAAAAAGTAGAAGCATTCGAACAGGCCACTTCGTCACATGTTTCGCAAGGTATGATTTTAGAAGAACCTGCCAGAATCACAAGAACGAAGAGTAAAGCTTTGGCAGCTGCTGCAGCTGGGGAAAATTCTGCAGCAGGCTCTGCAATGAATATTGCGCAAAAACTTGCTAGGAAGTCTCTCGCTAAAGCTAAGAAAATTTCCTTGGCTAAGCAAATTAAGACTACCAAAGAGTCAAAAGAGGTGAGCATTGTATGTTTAAATTTAATTTCAATTTTAATTTCTTACCACGGTCTTTGGATATCTTTCCTTGAAATTATACATAACTCTACCGATTGTTTTTCTATTTTTAGAACAATATTCAACAATCAGCTCAAAAGATCAGCAAATTACTGGCAAATGAAAAGTCAAGCCAGAAGCAGCAGCTGAAGACTACTCCACTAAGTAAAATAAGGCAAATGGTTCCCATGTCGGTGAACCGTTTTAACACACCTGCCACTGGAATCGTGACGCCTCAGAATGTTAACGTAAGTTTACATAACCTATATTTATATCTGTAACTTGTTACATTATATAGTATTATACTAGTATAGTATTATTTAATTACACTATGTACATTATGTACACTTATATATAGTTACATTACTTTATTCTTCTCTTCGGTTCTTATATCTCTCTACAGCGTATCTGATTTAATTAATCTAGAGTAATTTGAAAGAATATTATTTGTTAAATATGTACTTTTAATCGAACTCAATTCTTGTTTTAGGTATTGAAGTCCATGACAGCCTCTCGTACAAACATCGTGTCAAATGTGGATTCATTTTTGCAATCAGTGAAAGCACCTACGAAACAGAATTCAAGGGAATTATCAGAAGAGAGGAGTCGAAACGAAGAAGATGTCCGACGAAAGAGAGCGGAAGCACTGAGGCTGCAGATCGAAGAGAAGAAAAGGTGAATTTTAATTTAGCTCGAAATTGTTCATAGCTGCCAAGGGAAATGAGCAAAGATATATTAGTATAAACTTTTATTTGACAGAAAACGAGAGGAAAAAGAATTGAAGAACAAATTGGCAAGGGAGGCGAAGGAAAAACTGGCCATAGAAAGAAGACTGAAGCTTGAAAAAGAACGAGAAGAGAAAGCACGATTGGCACTGCAACTTCAAGAGAAACAGAAAGAGGAGGCAGAAAGAAAACGTCTTGTCCAACTCCAGCGTTTGCAGGTATATTTAAGAGTAATTAAACTATTAAATCTAGTCGACTAGTGTTTCATCGGAGCTTTGCTTTTTTTCTTTTTACAGAGTATAGCTAGTTAAGGTGGTACCAAAGGGCCACTCCATATATAATATATAAAACATGAAAATATTTATAAAAGTTTTCTCCAAACTGGGTTCATCGAATCATTTGAAACTGCAACATGTGATTACGGAGGCATTAATGAAGAACGCAATGCTCGTGGAATTTCATTTTTCAAACATTTTTATTTACTTATCGCAGACTAGAGCCAAGGCACATATTTTTCTTGAAAAGTGATATTTCATGAGCATCGCATTCTTCTTTAGGGCCTACATAATTACGTACTGAAGTTTCAAATGATTCGGTGCATCCAGTTTTTAGAGAAAAGTTTTATCAATGTTTAGTCATATTGATATATATAGAATAAATCTTTCATATCACCTTAAGCGTCTGAAAAGTGTCCCTACGTCAAATTCAATTTTGCATAAATTAGTTACTAACTTGCTACTAATGAACAATTTTTGCCAAATGTCAACACTGTGTCTTCATAGTGCCGCTAGTTAAAAATGAAAACGTGATTTTTAGTTTTGATTTAATAACTTTATTTCTATTGCGTTAATAATTACGAGAAAAAAAAAACAGGCTACTTAAACGCATTTTTAGCCACCGAGACTTCTGTTAATTATAGTCCATGATTTATTAGTATCTTTACCTTGGCAGGAAAAAGAAGATAGGCGTAAGCAAGAGGAACAATTACGATTGCAACGGCTGCAAGAACAGGAAGATGCCGAACGATTACTCGCTGAACAGAGACAGAAAGAACAAGAAATTGAAAAACGCAAACTCGCAGAAGCAAAGGCTCAACATAACGAAGCAAATCGATTAAAGGCCCAAATGTCTGCAATGCAGACTAAGGTAACCTACGATGAGATTATTTTATTGCCGTACATACTCTATCATTATGAAATACAAACGTTAAGGCGAAGTGAAACACGTCGAGGAACTTGATCGACGTCGATAAAGATTTTTCTAAATGCCTACGTTGCCGACGTTCGTTTTCATATTGACAGCTGGGTCGAATTATATTGGGTATTGTACCAAATGGCATACTCCATCTGTCTAAAGAAATCGAAGTAAAACTCCAGAAATCCTCTGGATTCATGATTTCTGGGGCCCTAATTGACTGCAGAGGGACCCTCTGCGCCATCTGTGATTTCCAGGTCAATTAAATTTTCACTCCGAGACCTCGTATTCCCATCGTTTTGGCATAGAAGCGCATACAACACTTTTTTTGCCTTTATCCTGTTCAAATGCGAGTTTATCGATTACCAGAGTGTTCTAAATTGTCGTAAAATTGTCCTGACCCTTTCGTTTCTCATATCAGAGCCTTCGATAATTGTATATTGATTGAAATATGAGAGCTCGACGCCATTTTGATTCTGGTCAGGGCTAAGTTAAACAATTTTTTAGATACTATTCGCAGTTTGGTCTCTAAAGATAACGTTATTGGCATCTAGTATAGTGGTGCATATCGTTATTTAACGAATTAATCTCGGTTTTCAAACACTAATTTTAGACGAAGCAGACGGCCGTTGCAGAAAAGAAACACGAGTACGTACCAAATGTGTATCATCTAGACAGTGAACCTGATGATGACGAATCAGATGACGAATCTCAACCGAAGCATCCGATTCCTATTTGGGCGAAGTGTAAAGAACTTGATTCAAAATCATTTCTAATTAATGATCAAGCTTTAATCGTTAACTATTATTTCAATAATTTAATACAGTCAAACCTGTTTTTGTGCGGTAGATAAGAACCGCACAAAAAAAAAGAAATATTCAGAAACTTCATAAATAGCTATAACAAATAATTTTTCGGAGCATATTAAAGAACATTTTTTTTTTATACGGTGAAGAGGGACCGCATGAAAAAAGTCTCAGTTAAAAAATATGTCAAAGCTTTACGGAATAGCGAGAAAGTGCTTTCCAAACGAAATAAATAATTAAATTACACGTGGAAATATTTTAAAGAATTTTCATTTCTCATTTTAAACATGGAGAAATTTTCAAAATGTACATCATTCAATACTACTTGTCGTAGTCTAAAACGTGCTATTCTTGTGATAAACCGGTTCGTAATCGCTTTCCTCCCTTGAAGATATTAGGGTTGATTTATTTTTTGTTACCATGTAGTCTGTGATAAGTTTTTGCGACGACGGTCGTTTGATCAGCTGCTTGTAAACGTCGCGATAGCCAGATATACACGATCGAAGCTCTTTTTCGAATTTCAAACTTCTTTCGGAATTGTTATCTACTTTAAGAAAATGCTTTTCCAATTTGCTGCAAAGCTGGACCCCTGCATATATTTTATCCGCTGACATAGAATCCGGTTCTTCTTGTTCGTCTTCATGATCTGTTAACGGCGTTCACCACCAGAGTGGGGACGATGACTTCCACCGCTAGATGGCATTAGCATAAAGTTTTATTTGAGCAATTGCTGCTGCAGCGAGGATCTGAATCCCGATATTAATATACCGCATAAAAGAAATTGCACAAAAAAAAAATCGCATAAAAACAAGTTTGACTGTACAGTGGTATAGAGCTGATGTAGACTTAATGTTATACTTGCGTGTTAATGATTTATAACCGTTTTCCTTTTTTAGCACACGTACGGGAGTCCAGATTGATAATGCAACAGAGCCTGCCTTTATGTGCGGTCCTGAAGTACTTCAACAGCAGGATGTGCACCCCTGACCTTACGCAATTGTTCCCTGGAATTAGCAAGAACCGTTTAAAGCGCACCTCGAGCGCAGTGTGGAAAACCTTACCCAGATTCTCGATGATGGAAAATGACCTGGATGATGAGTAACCATCCACAAATGGAGGAATGGTTTTTCACGGAAGGATTAAGTGTAAGACTTGAACGTCTTACACGATCCTTTTTATTAAACGACTCTTGCACATACTTCCAGGACGAATTATTGGGTGCGATGAAATCAAATCCTAGGGATTATTGTCCTATACCCAAGCGACATCTACCGGTCGCTTTAGAAACATTGCTGTGTGTCGACGGGGGCTTTGTTCCTGGATGTGTGTGTATTAAACGACTCTTGCACATACTTCTAAAACGAATTATTGGGTGCGATGAAATCAAATCCTAGGGATTATTGTCCTATACCCAAGCGACATCTACCGGTCGCTTTAGAAACATTGCTGTGCGTCGACATGGGCTTTGTTCCTGGATGTGTGTGTATTAAACAACTCTTGCACATACTTCTAAAACGAATTATTGGGTGCGATGAAATCAAATCCTAGGGATTATTGTCCTATGCCGATGCGACATCTACCGGTTGCTTTAGAAACATTGCTGTGCGTCGACATGGGCTTTGTTCCTGGATGTATGTGTATTAAACGACTCTTGCACATACTTCCAGGACGAATTATTGGTTGCGATGAAATGTAATCCTAGGGATTATTGTCCTATGCCGATGCGACATCTACCGGTTGCTTTAGAAACATTGCTGTGTGTCGACATGGGCTTTGTTCCTGGATGTGTGTGTATTAAACGACTCTTACACATACTTCTAAAACGAATTATTGGGTGCGATGAAATCAAATCCTAGGGATTAGTGTCCTATGCCGATGCGACATCTACCGGTCGCTTTAGCAACGACATCGACGTGCGTCGACATGGGCTTTGTTCCTGGATGTATGTGTATTTGCTTGTGTATTCAATTGCTCTTTGTTCCATTTCTTTGTCTCGTTGTCCCAGCTCGTTCAGTCATCCCGCTCGAGCGAGATTATTTTAATTTAAGCTGCAGGGGAAATCCAAATACTAGCGATTGTTATTGTTTTACGTGATCTTGACAATGATTGATTACGTAGCGCTAGCGACTCGCCTTCTGTCAGTTTGGGCTTTGACAAACTAACGTTAACTTTGTAATTATATATGCATGATTTTAAGGATTTCAAAATGATTTCTAAACAGAACTCGATTAAGGATATTTGTACATTAAAGTAGGGATTCTTATTTCTTTCTCTGTCTTCGTTTGTATATTTAAATAAGTGACTAGTAGTCATGTGGCGCCTATTCTGCCATTTGGGGATTGTTGTGCCATGCTCAAGGCATGAAATATGACAACTAGCATTGCAAAAGTACTGTGTCAACTTTTAATTACTGTCTCGAAATCGTAAACTTGTCACTGGATTTTGTAGGCTGATTTTCGGAAAGTGCTATTTCGTTTCCTAATACATGGTCGATAAAAAACTGACCATTCGACACATTTCATGAATATCTGGTTTCTTCCGATCCTAGTCTCTATTAGGAAATATTCGTTTCGAAAAATAACGGCTGGGAAGTTCATGCGATTTCCTCGCTTCTGACGTCATCGATTCAAAATGGCCGATTCATGGATTCAAAATGGCCGATTCACGGTTACTAGGGTCTTAAAATGTTATATACTATTGTTTCCACTTCTTTCGTCTTCTTTTTTAATACAAGCTATTGGGATAGTGTTTGTAGTGTTAATTTGTTTCCTCCGTTACGATAAGACCAACGTATGAAAAATGATAACTGGGAGCATTACAAAAGTATTCTGTCAACTTTTAATTACTGCCTCGAAGTCGTAAACTTGTCACTGGCTTTGGTATGCTTTCCTCGCTTCTGACGTCATCGATTAAAAATGGCCGATTCATCGATTCAAAATGGCCGATTCATCGATTAAAAATGGACGATTCACGGTTACTAGGGTTTTAAAAGGTTATATACTAGGTTTGTTCGCGTTGACTGCACTTTTTACCCTCGAGGGTAACGAGTGTACTACACTTTTCTTCAAAAGTGCAGAAGGGTAAATACACTTTCATCGACGTCCCGAACGCCAGAAACTTCACGAAAGTCCAAGATGGTCGATTTAGTAGAGAGGTACGCAATTATCCTCTAAGTGGCTGTGAATGCCGGCCTAACCTCTACGAGCGCCTACCTTCTTTTTATCTCAATTACACTAAACCTTTTCACTTCCCTTCTTATCCTATTATCTCATCTCGCCATTATCTCGCTTAGTTATCGCTACTCTCTCTCCTACGAACTGCACACTTTCACCACCATTAACCAAGTCGGGTTGAAAATTATAAATATTTTGATAATTGACTGTATTTCTGCAACAATGAATTACCTTTTTTTGACTATTACATCGGTAAATCCGTTTCTTATCTTGTCACTGACGATATTTGTTAATTTTTAATCATTGAAAATCAGTAGTACCCATTGTGTTGCATCCAATTTTGAGAAATGTTAATTTGCTGCCAAGTATGCAAGTTTTTTCATAACGTGCTTGATTTTACTTAGACGTCGATTTGAAAACGCCTTTTGTAGGTCTTTTAGGATGTACATATGTGCTGTAAATTGAAGGAATGTATGTTAAGACCTTAAATAAAAACGTATCTTTATGGATAATATATAACCACTAGACTCTGTGGCATTATTATTATAGTCATTATTGATTGTATAAATATCCGCCACATAACGTTCATCACTCACAAACATTTACTACCAATTACTACTGCTAGAGATTATGTAAAAATATTACGAAACAAATTAAGTGGTACATACGGTAGTCTCATCTTCTGCGATGATAAAACTGATAGCATCTGTGGTATCCTCACTGGCTCCAAATTATGAGTTATCAAATGAGTGTATACTGGGATCTATATATTACAATATATTCATTAAAATGTTAGTAAATGTTTAATACAAATAATGTACTAAAGTAATGTGCTTACATATGCTAATGAGTTATCAAGACTTGGTGGTGCGTCATAGGCTTTAGATCGTCCAGCTAGTTTATAACGCTGTCCTAAAATTGGCGAAGAGAGTCTTCTTCCATACAGCAATAATCTTTTCTGATTGGAAACCTCCTTAGAAAGTTCCACATCTTCAGCTGTACCGTCAGATTTGACTTCGGTTTTCCCCCCTTTCATAACCTAAATTTTTCAACGTGTAAACAGCAATCAAATTACATAAAGAATGTATTACAAATGAATGATTTGACTTCAGTTTTCCCCTCTTTCATAACCTAAATTTTTCAACGTGTAAAGAGCAATCAAATTACACAAAGAATGCTTCGACATCATTAGAATGTTATTGTTACCTTCATTGTTGTATGACTGGCAATTCGTTTAATATCAGGAGGCAATCTGAATTCACCGAAGTACTTTGAAACAGGGGTGTCTGATAACAATGTGGACCATGGTCGAAAAGTTCCAAGGGTAGATATGTATTGTCCACTCAGAGACCACAAACGTACCGTATGGTCAGAACTTCCACTAATTTCCAATATATAATGTTATAAATGATTTTCATATGTCCCGAAAAATACCACGTGGTTTTTAAGTTAATCGTAACATAGGATAAGTCAATAGCAGTCAATAGTTAATTACGTTTCTATAGTAACGACTGATGCGCACATTGTTGCGCGGGACAGCAGCGCATCCCCATTGAACACCAAACCTAACAGTTACGTAACTTAAAACTAACAAATAACATAACGTTTGTTACAATGTAATAACCTAACAGTTACGTAACATAGAGCTAACTAGTTACATGACATTTGTTACAATGCAGTGACTTAACAGTTATGTAACATAGAGCTAACAAGTAACATAACATTTGTTACTATCATATCTATATAAATGTAGCATAACTTTGTTACTCTCATCTTACATTATGTTACTGTCCTGATATTACTGTGTATATGTAGCACATATTTCTAACAAAACGGAACTACATTGGTGCTGTCATTTCTTTTATTACATCATCGTCATTATCATAATTCATCGTCAAATGTCATATTTTGTTTACTACTCGTATGAAAAAATGTGACTTTAATTCATACGCTCCTATACATTATCAGTCATTGTTTGCTAGTCGAATGAAATCCTAATTGTCTTTAAGTAAAATCAAATAATTTATCGTTACACAATTTCATTGAAAGTCTGATTTGTCATTTAATATCTAACTATTGTCAAGTACCGACAATTAATTAAAAATAAAACATTATATAATTTTGGATAAAATTGCGTCATCTTTTTTATTAAATGTATGAAAAATTAATATTATGTCAAGGTAATTGATATTATAACGTTAATGTAACATTAATATAACATGTTACACAACACTTTACCTTACTAAGTGGGAAATAATAACTAACATCTAACTTCCATGTTACTTATATGCTACATAACATGTTAGTTTCGAAAAGGTAACTTTTACCCAACAGTTATATAACAGTGTTTACTGGGTCGTAATATTCCGACTGTAATATGCGATAGTTTATATAAAATCGCAGCACATATGTAAAAATGACGTTAAATTCACGTACAATTTTTGGAGTTCCGACGTCGAATGAACACAATATTAGACTTTGTTGCCGTTAAGGTGAAGTGAAACATCCTTCAAATCAGTCAAGTCGAATACAACACTTTTTTTTAAGGGTATTGGACCAAACTGTCCGAAACTTTGACAAATCACTCCTGATCATCTAAGAATTGTCCTGACACATTCAAAATTGGGTTTTGTAAAACGAATTTTTTAACTTATCCCAGACAGCAATAATTTTAAGTTATATAACTGTTATCTTTGGTGTTCAGTGGGTAGGTGTTTAGAAGAATCTATTTACCGACGTTTGTGAAATTTTTCGACGTGTTTCAGTTCGCATTAAGAGATTGTCCCAAGTTTTTTAAAATAATATACGGACAAATCAATAAATGGGTTAAAATAGAATTTTTTATATAACCATACCTGACAATTAATCTAGCTCCTGGCACAAATTGTAGGGAATTCACAGCATTTGTATGACCCATTATTGAAGATAATAACAGTGGTAAAGGCTGGTTTCGTACAGCTCTCTTTGCACGACCGTCCAGTCTATCTTTCCAGAGAAATGGAAATTCTAATCTCAAAACAGGCATTGATATCCGTTGAGGATTGGGTAGTGCATAATTGGTCAGTAACCATACCTTAATATACCCAGCAGCATGTCCTGTGAACATTAATCTAATAATATACAGACAATGATAATGTTAAAAAAAAATGCTCTTTGCACGAACGTCTAGTCTATCTTTCTAGACAAACGGAAACTCTAATCTCAAAACAGGCATTGATATCCGTTGAGGATTTGGTAGTGCATAATTCAGTAACCATACCTTAATATACCCAGCAGCATGTCCTGTGAAACATTAATCTAATAATATACAGACAATGATAAAGTTAAAAAAAAAATGCTCTTTGCACGACCATCTAGTCTATCTTTCTAGACAAACGGAAACTCTAATCTCAAAACAGGCATTGATATCCGTTGAGGATTTGGTAGTGCATAATTCAGTAACCATACCTTAATATACCCAGCAGCATGTCCTGTGAAACATTAATCTAATAATATATAGACCATGATAAAGTTAAAAAAAAATTTAGACAATATACAAAAATGCCTTTTTCTTACCTGTAATAAGATAATCGTTATTTGGATCAGTAGTAAGACAGAGCGCACAGTCACCGGGTGTATGGATAACAGAAAAGGCACCCAAGAATCCTGCTGCTGGATGGTGTGTCCAAACCTGAATTAATCCAGATTCCAACGATATTAAAAGAGTTCCGACGTCAGGGGACACTGGTCTTGAATTCAGGAATATCATAGAGTACACAGCAGTTGATCTTGTGGTGTTCAATGCTGATTGTTGATGCTTCGAATTTCTTTGTTGTAATGGGCTTGATATTGGTGGGGTACTCCTGGAGAGATGGAATGTGTCTATCCATATATACAGATATATACAGATATACTTAAAATATATATATGATGGATATATATTTTAAGAAATAATAATTATTTTTCATTGTAATCCAAGAATCTGACTAAAACATTAACTGCGAAGATATACTTACATGCCATCTGAATGTATCTTTCTTGCTGGTGTCCCCTTCATATTCTTGGGATCAATTGCATCATTTTTTCCCTTCGATTCTTTTGTATAAACAATTGTATACCTACAATACCAGGTGTATGAGCTTAAATCCGCTGTTTGCTTATAGATTGCGTTAGTGAGCATATTAAGTTACTATGGACACGCCATACTTTTGTTTTGTATGAGTTTGACATCTGTCAACAATAATCAGTGCATCATCAGCAATTTCATACAACAACATACATTCTTTTGGTAATCGTGTCTAGTTTTTTGCCAGAAAAAAAGCATATGGGGGAAGCTCTGCTTTCCTGCTTCAATTTGAAGAAATCGGCTGCCGAATCGCATCGAATGCTTGTGGAGGCCTATGGCGACAGTGCTTTACCGGAAACGAAGTGCAGAGATTGGTTTCGTCGGTTCAAAGACGGCAGTTTTGATCCGAGCGACAAAAAGCGTGAAAATCGGCCCAGGAAGGTTGAGGACCATCAATTGCAGGCTCTTTTGGACGAGGACGATAATCCAATCGCAAAAAATGCTTGCCGAGCAATTGGATGTTACTCAACCAGCCATTTTCATGTGTCCTTGTTGATCCCTTATTGGATGTGTCGGTGGAGAAGCCACTCTTGGATGGGAAAATAACTTCCACCGCCTTGCTCGGCGCTGTTGACCAATCTCAACGAATCCAACTACCAGGTGTATAAGCTTAAATCCGCTGTTTGCTTATAGATTGCGTTAGTGAGCATATTAAGTTACTATGGATCCGCCATACTTTTGTTTTCTATGAGTTTGACATCTGTCAACAATAATCAGGGCACATCATCAGCAATTTCTTACAACAACATACATTTTTCTTTTGGTAATCGTGTCTAGTTTTTTGCCAGAAAAAAAGCATATGGGGGAAGCTCTGCTTTCCTGCTTCAATTTGAAGAAATCGGCTGCCGAATCGCATCGAATGCTTGTGGAGGCCTATGGCGACAGTGCTTTACCGGAAACAACGTGCAGAGATTGGTTTCGTCGGTTCAAACACGGCAATTTTGATCCGAGCGACAAGAAGCGTGAAAATCGGTCCAGGAAGGTTGAGGACCATCAATTGCAAGTACTTTTGGACGAGGACGATAATCCAATCGCAAAAAATGCTTGTCAAGCAATTGGATGTTACTCAACCAGCCATTTTCATGCTCCTACGTACCACGGGAAAGGTTCAAAAGATCGGAAAATGGGTGTCGCATGAATTGACCGATAGGCAGAAGGAGCGACGCCAAAACACATGCGAAATCTTGCTCGCCAGACAAAAAGAAAGTCGTTCCTGCATCAGATTGTGACTGGCGATGAAAAGTGGATATTTTTCGAGAATCCTAAACGCAAGAAATCGTGGGTTGATCCCGGCCAACCATCAAAATCGTCCGCAAGACCAAATCGCTTCGGACGGAAGACGATACCGTGCGGTTGGTGGGATCAGCAGGGTATCGTCTACTATGAGCTGTTGAAACCTGGTGAAACTGTCAACAAGTCGAAAAAGAAACGAAATGTTTTGTATATCTGGTAGAAAAATATTACGAAACCACATGGAGGTAATATTATAAAAATATTATAGAGATAATATTCTAAAGTAAACGTTTGGCAAATATTTCAAATGTCTGCTAAATATTTACAAAATGTAGAATATTCGTTAAATATACAGAAAATATGGGATAAATATTTTGTACTACTAGGGATCTAGCAAGTTTTCATGTATGAAAATGAGTTCATCTTATTTGAAGTATTATAAAGCAAACATTTGATTTTAAGTAACATGTAGAATAAAAAGTGTTTTACCTTCCCGTGGGATTGTTTACCAGGAATTTCCGATAAGGCTGGCCAGTCTCTAACCTCCATAAAACCAGCTCACCATTGTAAGATGCAGTGGCTAGAGTTTGTGAATTAGCTACAGAAGCACAAAGCACATCGTCCGTGTGTCTCATTTCCCAGCGTTTTTTATGTATGCCAGATTCCGTGTCTGCGAACTCTGTAACTCGTTTATCCCATCCAGTGCATAAAATTCGATTTTCCAGCCATACCACACTGGTCACTTCCCTTGCACTGCTTCGACAGGTTTAATGATTAAAATAACTTACACTATTTACCATAAACTATTTTAACAGAGCATCTATACATTCCTACCGTCAATGAGTTAAGGTGAAGTGAAACCCCCTTAAAATCAGTCGATTCAAATACAACACTTTTTTTAAGGGTATTGGACCAAACTGTCCAAAACTTAGACACGACTCCTGATCATCTAAGAATTGTCCTGACACATTCAAAATTTGGATTTTTGGAAAAAATTGCTTAACTCACCCTAGATATATATTTTAAGAAATAATAATTATTTTTCA